TGAGGAATAGTGTGAGGAGATACGTGGAGGAGATAGTGTGAGGAGATAGTGTGGAGGAGATAGTGTGGAGGGGAAGAAATAGTGTGAGGAGATAGTGTGAGGAGATAGTGTGAGGAGATAGTGGTGAGGAGATAGTGTGAGGAGATAGTGTGAGGAGATAGTGTGAGGAGATAGTGTGAGGACGATAAGTGTGAGGAGATAGTGTGAGGCCGATAGTGTGGAGGAGATAGTGGTGAGGAGATAGTGTGAGGGGATAAGTTGAGGGATAGTGTGAGGAGATAGTGTGAGGAATAGTGTGAGCGAGATAGTGTGAGGAGATAGTGTGCAGGAGATAGTGTGAGGAGATAGTGTGAGGAGATAGTGATGAGGAGATAGGTGAGGAGATATGTGAGGAGATAGGTGAAGGAGATAGTTGGAGGAGAATAGTGTGAGGGTAGTGAGAGGGAAGGGGAGTGAAGGGTAGGAGGGGAGGGGTGGGAAGGGGGGAGGAAAAGAGTGTGAGTGTCCGAGGAGAAGGAAAGATAAGAGAAACATGAGAGCTAGAGGGAGCACATACTGTTTAAAGATGAAGATGAGAGAAGGGAAAAGAAGTAAGTAAATAAGAGGTAAATAAGAGGTAGTGAGATATAAAATTTGATAAGAAATATAAGATGTAATATGATGGTATAAAGCTGCAATGATATGTAATTAAAACAGAAATAATCACACCAGAAAAACCATATGTAAGTAATGTTTTAGTAAATTTTATACGATGTAATCTCATCCTTTGACTACACCTCATAACCAAATGTTATTAAATAAGGGCCTGATATGATAAGAAAAAGAATCTTCCTGATGAATATGATTTCATGAAAGTGATTTCTTATATAAATAAATACTTACATTTTTAATACTGCAATAATTACTTTTAAATGCTGCAGAATCTTTGAAATTATTGTTTTGATAATTTATTTTATATACCCTCTATTTTCGTAGGATAGTGAAATTACATATATGACCAGAAGCAAAACAACCGGCCATCTCAGTATTTACTTAATGGAACCTGGGTAAAACACCTAATTGAGATTTTCTCAATTGACCCAGAAGCTGAGGTACAATACATACATTAAATATTAGGTTTATTTACATCAAGCTAATACTGTAAAGTCAGTGATCACATATAGGTCTGAATTGATATCTTAAGGGACTGTGAGTTTGACCACACTGGGGGATTTTGTTGAAATATTTATCATAAAAATTGAAATGAATATGAAAATTAAGTGTAATCTTTGCATTTCATTTTTCAATTAATTTATTTTACATAATTTTTAATAACATAAAATATTTTAAATTTATTAGGGAGCTAGCTTTTGGCATTCTATTATTCTAGGCACCTGCATTAATCCATCCAGTGTCATAATGTTTGGGCCCGCAAGGCAGACAATGTGGGTGGCACCATGTTAATAAGTAGCTAATTTTAGGGACATTTTTATTATGTAAGGTACTAATACTACTTGTGGTTGCTATACACATTTTTAAAGGGGGCCCCGATACAAGTTTTGCGGGCAGGCTTGCACATATTTTATGCTACTGAATCCATGTGTGGTCACTTGGAAAGACTTTGAGTTACTTTTGTGAGAAGTAAAAAGTGAATTATTGATTGTGACTGACTTTTCTCTTCTGAAAGTGTATGATGATTACATTCCTGTTAAGTTCACATTTTTCATTTATTTGTGCATGCAACAAGACTACAGTTCATGTGTTTGGGCATGTAACAAGATTACAGGTAAAAATGGAGGTATGTGTTTTGGTAATTGTTTACAAATTACTTTAAGACGTATTTGTTTCATATGACACAAATTACTCCTTCCTCTCTGAATTTAAGTGTGATTTTAAATTGCTTCTTATACTTATTCACCCTTGATTTATTATTACATTGATGATGAATATATTGTTTAATGTTTTCGATTTTAAATATTTTAGTGCAAAATTAAATTTCAGAAATAATGTGTCTTGTGTAGAAACTGATATTTTATGATAATAAATAAAAAAGAATTAAAATAATAATGTTTAGTTAGTTAACTTCCTTTCATAAATTTCATTTTCGGAACAATAACTTACTTAAAAAATGCTTTTCCTCAAGCATCTTATTCAAACAAACATGTTTCAGATGATTGACAAAATTACAATAGAAATTCAAACAATTTAACATATTGATTAAGTTGACAAACTTCAGCAAATATCATAAAATATAAAATAAATTCACAATATGTTTTTCTAGACTTTACATTAAGTATACTATAATTGGACCAAAAGCCCAAATCTTAATATTTATTAGTAATGGCAGTACATACAATTGGAGAGAAAATTAAACAAAAATATTGAGCAGAAAAATTGTTTTAATATTTAATGATATAGAAGTTATTAAAATGCAAACTTTAGAAATTCTTTGTATTAATGAGAATTATTCCAAGCTTCTTTTCAATGACTATCTTCAACTCTTCTTAATGCTGACTCACTTCAATTAACTAGTAGATTGCCACATTGATAAATCCCTCCTAGAGAGAGGAGAGGAGAAGAAAGGGAAAAAGAGGAAAGGAGAGGTGAGGAGAGGAGAGAGAAGAAGAGAGGTGAGAATCATCTTTGCAGGATGAGTTTGAGAATATATTCATTTTATATTCATGGAGAATTTTAAATCACATAAATAATATTCTGCTATGAAATTCTGTTGAATATGTATAAACTTCAAATATTTGTCTAGTAATACATTGGTAATGTTGCATTTTTGATTTTATTATCCTTTCCAATCATGAGAATTTTCTGTCTAGATGTGAATTCTTCAAGATAATCAACATATAAAGAGAGAGTTGAGAGATTCAAATGTGTTTTGAAAGGACATGAACTGAACATGAAGGGTAGGTGGGGGCTGGTGGAGCTCCTGCTCTCTACCTCACTTCTCAGTCGTACTCATAAGCTCCAGGACACAGCTTCCATGTACTGGACAGTATACCATCTATACAGGAGGCCAAATTATTATGGCAAATATTTCTTCCTTGACTTACGAATTACAATTGGAGGCATCTGAAAAAGGTAATGGTTTCAACTTTAACACCAGTTAATGTTATTGAAAATGTATACACCAGTTAAAGATATAATGAGGCCAAAACAATACCTACAGATCCTAAAGAACCAATGTCCCCTCAAACAACTTTGTTGTTAGGAAAAAATCCTTGCATGTTCATGCATGATTGCATCCCATATTACAATACAAAAGAAAGTTGAAAAATATAAGAAATGGATCAGTCTGTGCTTCAAAGGGATGCAAGTAACTCTGTCATGAATTCCATAGAAAATGTTTTATTTAATAAAGTAAAAAAACTGAGAAAAAGAAGGCTGTACAAACTAGCTCATAAAACAATTCATTTGTATCTGTCAAAAATCCTCTGAAATTGAAAGAAAGGATTAAGAAATGATTTCAACATGATTCACAACAAATATGTTAATTATGAATATGACTTATATTTATAAAACTTTAGAAACCTGTACACACTGTTTATTGTCAAGAACTATGGAAACAAATACATTTTTGTCTCTTTCAATAAATCTACCATAATAATTTGGCCACCTCTGTATATTCATTAATGACACAGATTCCAAAACAGAAGTAATTACATCCAGATAATTTCTTGGGGGCTTTAGATTAAATTATTTAATTAATTCCTTTTCGTTAAATCACTTAGAAACAGTGATGGATTTATGCATGGGATGTTTCGGTGCCCCACACTCCTTGCCGTCCTTTTTTCTTTTCTTTAATTTGTTAATAAAGGCAATAAAGTTTTCATAATTTTTAAAGCATTTAATCAATTAATAAAACAACTTTTTTATAATAAAATGAATAACATTACAAAAAATAACCCAAAATCTCTTGTGTCTTGCTGATTCAACAGTGAATTGGTCGTTGAGATCATCACAGATTTTACAACTTCAGAATCTATTACCAACAAGGCCATCATATGTAATCAATCTTTGATCATTTTTGATCGGAAGTAATTTTTCACTCGTTTCAAACATGAAAAAGATCTTTCAGCCTGCAATTACTTATTGGTGGGCAGGCAATCATTCAATATACAATATCAACATTGGATAACACTATACTCAAGTTATTTCCATGAAGAAATTTCATCAATTCCATTGGAGACAAATTTTCAATATTTTTCTCAACATAGTGTACTTGGACATGTAACATTTTATTTCTCAATGTGCCTTCTAAATTAGTGTCACAGAAGTATTGCAACAAGTTTGATTATTCTTGTACATTGATTGCTTTCACATTTCAAGTTGTAAAATTATGGAGAACTTTCCACTGATCTTGTAAGCTTAATTTGTTCGACTTAACTGGCAATCTAAGATCACAAAGAATGTATTGACTTGGAAGTGACCGTTGCTAAGTTGTTTGTTAATTATGAATTAAAAGTTGTACTTTTTGATTAATTGTATTAAAATGTATTCATGCATCTCACCAGTGATTTCTTTGAATATAAACAGAGATATCACAAACCAAAGCAAAAATAGCTATGAAATTTGTATAAATTTTACTGTTTATTATCTACTTCAATTACAGTAATTGCATAAACATGTTCATATAACCAAACTAGCAGTGCTACAAGAGCACATACTTACTCACATTATTTCTAAATTTGCAATTTTTGAAAATTCAGAGTTCAACAAACATGTGGCCAGCACCATTCCATTAAGCATCTTCTATCCGTGGAGAAAATTTGGAGCAGTTTTTGAGAATTTTTTTAACCCGTAATTTGTGCCAAAGTACACGAAAACTACTCACATTTTCGAATAATGAACATGAACTTATTTAAAGATCCACCTTTAAGGAACAAAATTTTGAGGGGGAAAAAAAGGAGAGAAAAAAACAAACCAACCAACGTACTTTCACAATTTTCAAAAAAATCTGGGATTTCAATGAACATGAGACTTTCCTAATTCTCTTGTATCCTTTACACTATCTTAGGACAAAGTTTAATCAAAAAATTTGTATCCATTTTTGTGAAAATTTTGAAAATGTTTTTGAGGCTTCATATTAAGTACCCTCAAAAAACAAAATATCCAAACTCCCAAAACCTTGAGATAATTTAGATCAATTGGAGAGTATGAATTTTGAAGATAATCGGCTGAACAGTTAAAGCACTAGCATTGATCACTGGTGGACAGACATTTTGCCTTCAATCGTTTTTTGGCATATTTCGGTTTCTGGCTACAACATGTGTTAGAGAATCTTTTTCTACATTTAGCAACTAGATTTATCCACTTTTACAGTGCTCATGCCTAATTCCACTACTGCATAGAAAACATCAAGTGTTATTCAAACTGATTATTTCATATGTAATAGGCATGAAATCTGTTTTCAGGATGGAAATTTGAGTGTTTTAGCTTTATGGCAATATTATAGTTTGTGATGGTGATAAATATAACAGTAAAATCCAAATTAGTATTTCTCTTTTTGAAATGAACCTACCTGCTAAAGCAGATTTATTAATGTATTAATTTTAATATTCGGAAGTCAAGATTGTCAGATTTCTACTAAATTTGATAGAAATGTTTAGAAGTATATCATTTTACTGGATTTTTGTTTCACTTTTAACTGATACTGCCTTTTATTGCATAACCAGGATTTTCCTGGAGGGGAGGGATGTTATAAGCATAATATCCAGATGACTTCTTGTAAAGAATTTTACACTTATGCAGAATTTAAAAGAAATTTTAATTTGTTAATGTGTTATTCATAACGTATGCAAGTGAGATATTAAATGATTTAAATATTATTAAAACTAGGGTGCCTGTATCTTTAGTTAGTTATTGTTGTGTCAAGAAGTTAAAAATTGTTCATATAAAAAGAACAAAACATTACAAATCAAAGTTATTTATTTTAAAGACTTAAATGAATAGAATTGTTAAATCAATTTTAATTTACTTTTCAGTGTATATCCACACAAATTAATCTTGATTTGGACATTAATAGTTGCCATTAATAATATGAACAAAATACTTTGTAACTCCAAAAGCAGCAGCAAAAGAATATAAATAATTAAAATGTTAAAATTTTCTGTTTAAATTAGTAAAAACAAAAATTATTGTGATAGCATCGGTTTCTGGGATGTCACAGGTCTCTAAACCTGGTACACTACTGCATTTATTTAACATACGTGTACAAGAAAGCAAGTAGTACTTTGCTTTACTGCGTTTCTGGGGGGGCTAAAGCTTCATAAGCCCGGTGCACTACTTCATACATGTAGTACAGATGTATAACAAAGTAAGTATCAAAGCAAGTGATACCTTGGTCACTAAATTAAACTAATGAAACTAACAAATGTGAAGGTTACTTCACAATAAAATACATATGCGTACTAATTCATTGGCAAGACAATTTCTTTCTGGTTATTTAGATCAACTGGAAACAGACAGAATCACTAAATTACAATAAAATACATAATTTCTAGTTCACAAAAGAAGCAGCAAAATATCAAGACAAAAAACATATTGGTTTGCTTTCTAGGAAATATGTATAATTTCAGAAGCAAACTTCAAAAAAGAACAAGAATTCATGAAACTTTAATTAGTAATACTGGAGAGATTTCCATTTACATACGAATACAGTAAAATTATTTAAATCATTGTTTGGAACTTCTGAATTGAAAAGTAATCCATTTGATTTTTCTCCCCTTTCTTATAAATAGATCTCAGTATTTGGAGGTGAACGTAATGTGGTTACTGTACATTTTTACAATCCTAATTACTCAAATTTTAAAAGAATTACACCTCCTTAGCTATGAACAAATGAGCTTCTGTAACCCATACCCCTGTTAATATTTTAATTAAAATGTAAAAAATACATTTCCATTTTTAACTGCAAATTGTTATATCAAGCACTGTACTATAAAACATTTAATTTATTAGCTGAACAGCCGCGATTTCTTCACACTACCATTAGATTAACCTGTATCACCTGTTATTGTGCTATTTGACTGGCAGTGACAATAGCAATCAGGTTAATTTTAGACTATGTCTCATCTGTTGCCTGCAAAAACATTTTCTGGCCATACATTTTTACCTTTTATCTTAGAAATAGTATAGGAAGTTTCAATTGGGATCTAATATAAACTCATTTTCAGAGGTTCCTTGTTGCTCCAAACACTTTCGTTTGTATTAAATTATCTCCATTTATGTTCCACATGAATGCAGAAATCAAGAACGATTCCATTATTTATGTAACATTTTGTGTACAAGTAAATATGAATTCAAGATGCAAATTGATGGACAGGATGTCAGGACCCAAGAGAATTGGATATCCCCTGCTGGAGAAGTACTACTTTTTTGCTAGGGATACAATTAATCCACATCAGGTGCCATATTTATGATTTGCACTCTTAAATGTTCAAATGGGAATTTATCAAGAAAACATTCTCAAGAGCAATATTAAAATTCTTTCATATTGTGTTGCATAATCAAAGATGGCATTCATTTCACAATTCATTCTTTGTTCTCGTCCTCCTGAAGTTTTAAATGTTCTCCTCTGGAAAAAATTGCCAATTCATACTTGCATTAATGCATGTTTAATTTGATGTAAATTAATTCAATATTGCATTAATATTCTTGCACAATTGTCATTTATATATTTATAAAAATGCTTAATAAATTTTTTTTATTGTTTTGTAGACATTATTTTAACTAAAAGGAAATTTCAAATATTTGGAAAGACTACATCATAAGATAGATATCTAGTTCTCCTAATTTTAGAATAAATCCTATGTTCTCAACCCAGGTCCTCCGACAACCTTGCTTTAAAAATAAATTCCACATTTAATAATCATGTTCTTACAGGATATCACCTAAAAAAATTGGTGAATAATTTTAAACTAAGAAAGAAGAGTTTAATGTATCCAACAAAATACAAGGAGTTTAGAAAAGTTTGGAAACAGGGACTTTTATTTCCATAAAATACAAATAACACTTTATCCTTTATTGAAACACAAAAAATCATAAATAATTAAACTCTGACTACACCCTTCAGTCTGCAAATTCCCACCTCAATAAAACAAAAGAATTTTATTAATAAACCAGATTCATTTGAACATAAAATAAAATACAGCACTTGATTCTTGAAAAATAATATCCTCTTATTTAAAATAATCTATTATGTGAAATAAGTTCAAATGTACTATATGTGCAGAAATGTTTGCAACTTACTAACAATGAAAGAAACATTTATAGTGAAAACTGTCAAAATCTGATCAAAAGTTCCTGAGAGAATTCACATTAAATCGAATAGTTTAGACCATATTAAATTCTTACTTTTAGAAACACACTAAATCATTTGAGAGACAAATTAATAAATTTAATGAAAACAATTTCCTCCATGTTGTTTTACATTGTGAAGTCAAAAAAAGAAAAAAAAGATTTCTCACAATGTACATGGGACTATGAAAATACATCACATGGACACATCTGATAAAAATCAGAGCTGAAAAACTCGCCCAATAGGAACTGTGGAAGAATTCATGTGTTTCATAATACACCAAAAGGAAGTTTAGTGAAAATTGATAGTTCGAGATTTTCATTATCATTCATTCAACTGTATATAAAAAAATTCACATTCCATATTTTTCCAAATCACTAATCCATTCACACACTCAATAAACACATGAAACATTATACAATAGATTTGACTTAGTTACTGCCTAACAAACAAACAAAAAACATTTTCCACGTTCACTCATATAACAAGTGAACTTATCTTCCTATACTTTACAGAAAGAAAAAATTTCTTAAAATGTATACTTTCACTTTTTTCACTATTCTATTTACAGAGTAATCCATTATCCTGAGATGAAGAAGTGTTTTAATACTTCTTAAGTGATTTACGAATTAGTGCAAGGCGTTGCTTATGTGCTTCAGTGACAGGAGCTCGTTTATAAGGTCGGAGTTCATCTGTTCCAAAGCCAGGAAGCCACATGTTCCACTGTCGCTCTGAAAGACATTATAAGAGAAAAGGAAATTTTTAAAATAGCAATATATATAAGATATACAAATTAAATGCTGTTTAATACATGCTTTTCATTCTGAAATAATATTTCTGCTACAAATCTCAATATTAATTTACAATGTAGAAATCTAGGGCCTTAAGAAAACAACAAAAATTCTTTGATTTTTGCACTGAATAAATATATCATCATTAACTTACCTAAGTGCAATTGCACGTCCTTTACTTCCACAGTAGATGCATTCCGATGTTTGGCAAGCAAACATGCAGCACTGACAGTTGATTCAACAAAATCATCTGCTAACTGAAGAAGAAGCTCTTCTACTTCTTCATCAAGCTGTTCTGTAGGATCAACTTCTCGTACAAGATCTTGCAATCGTGGTCGAGTCAAAATCTGGAAAATAATAACATTTCACAGTGCTTATTCAAGTACACACTTTTAAAATGACATCATGTTCCAAATTGCAAGGGAATCATTAATTTGAGAGAATTTATATCCGATTCTCCTCTAATACTGGCGGTTCTGACAAGAAAATTAATCAATGAAATAAAATATAAAGTACAAATTTGAGAAGTCTCTTTAAAATTTTTCCAAAAACATATAAGAAATGAATATAGAATGTTATTGTTTCCTGAATTTTATTAGAGAATTGTCAGACAGATTTTTTGCACAAACAGTGTTAATAGTGTTTTCAAAAGTTCATCAAATCACTGTTATACAGGAACTATATTTTCTGTTATACGAGTTCAGAAATTGATCAGTTTTTTTGCATTTGTTTAATAATGGATTGATACGTACCACAGATGGTACATCATGACTCACTGAAGAAGCAGTGGAAGATGAAGTCTTCATTTGTGATCCCAGCGATGATTGAACAGATGATCCCATTGATGATGTTCCCGTTCCTGTCATGTTGTTGTGGGTAGTGTTTGTATTTGAACCACCACCTTGTAAAGCAGAAGCAAGAGAAGAATGTTGTGACGCAGATGGTGTCACCGCAGAAGAAGACACAATATTTGTTGTGCCTGTGCCCATGACAGACTGAAGATTTCCCAGACCAGGTGACGATGAAGCAGTTAAGTTTGGTAAACTAGGTTGAGGAGCCATAACAGACTGCAAAAACAACCAATGATATAAAATGGAGTACGTAGATAACATATTATGATACAGATTACATATTATTAATAACCAAACGTTTAAAAAAAAGATTCACTTGACATGAAAAATACTGAGAAAATAAGTAGATTAATTGTTTAAAAAAATGATGAAAAAAAAAGTTTCAAGGCTTGGTATCTTACTTTAGAGAAATTATACTCTTAGGATATTCATTATACTATTGTTTATTTGAACACAGAGTAATTTAGTTAAGAACAAACATTTGGGAAATAATATATTTGCAAAATATAATCATATAACTTAATTACTTTTCTAATTTAAAGTTCCTCAAAGTCACTTAAAAACTTTTAGAGACAATTGTGGCAAGTATTTATATTGACAAACTCAATGCTGTCTTACCGGTGGGATTCCCGAATCCACTTCCATTGGAGTAGCAATATTTTGTTGATGCCCCGATACTGATAACATTGAGCCGGGAGTAGTTGCGGCAACTGTCATTGCTGACCCAATATTCTGATTCGGATTCATGTTATTACCTATGTTATTACTCATCGTACAATAACACAATACAAAATTATAACGTAAATTATGAGAAACTATAATGTTGATTCTTTCCGTCGACTTCCAACAAGATGGTACCTCAATCTAACATTTTGCATGACGATCTAAACTGGCTGAAATTCGCCAGAATCAATATACACGATCGAAATACAGTTACCGGTTCCTAAATCATTACACCATACGTGTTTCTTAAGTTAACATTCTCACTGCTTTGATCATACGATGTGTAGTCTCCCCTGAACTGAATTCCTTCGAGCTCCGTTTACAAATGGTGTAGTTATGGTGCGTAGCGCGTATGAACGCTAGTTTTGTACTGGGTGTGCTCTGAAATCTGAAAAATAATCATTCAATTTTCCGTTAATAAGCCCATGAAATATCGACGCGTCCAAATATTCATTTATCGAACTAGCTGTATATTTGGAATTTTTATTGTTAATGAATCTAGATACACATACATTTCACCAATAATATAATTCTAATTGTACCTTTTAATACTACAATGTCCTGTTTCCTATGTCTATCATATGAAGCTTGAATTTTACAGTTACTAAAATTTAAAATGACGTTAAAAAATAAATTTATTTGAATTAATAAACTATTTTAGTTTATTCTTAATTAATATAAATATTTAATGCATGGAGATTCAATTCGCCATTTATGAAAGTACACTTTTCTTCCACAAATGTTCGCAGTGACCGATTCTTCTTATTACAAAGTAAGTCGTTCTGCGAAGTAAGTAAATCGTTCAACGTGATTGATTTAGCTTTGAACGAGTCTTTTTTGAACGATTCACTCTAACCTGCACAGTGTGCACGGCTTCGGTTCAACAGCTGATTCAACCTCACGTCAAGTAACCTATCTAACCCCCCCAAAGATACTGCGATGGGTTATGTTTGCGTGGGCGTGTTTTCTCTCGTTCTTCGTTCTTGTCAAGTAGTAAACTATCAGTTTATCGAACGCTCAACTAAATAAGGGACTTGTAAGAATTTAAAGAAGCTGCTATGAACATAATTCGTACGTGACATGGAATCCAGGAAGGATATTTATCACTTGTGGGTGCAGTACACGACGAAAGTAAGTTCATCGGCTCTTGTTGATAGAAACTGATTTTTTAAATAGCTTTTTTTAATAGGTCATTCAATGTTGTAGGCTTGTTAGTGTGTTTACGGACCATCTTTTTTGTAGGTTATGATACTTTGCCTAATGTCAGTTTAAATTTGATTAATTATTTTGGGGGAAGTGGGGTTGACAGTATCCCTTTCAAATGTTGTAGTCTAGTGTACTCAAAAAAAAAATTTGCATTTACTTCAGAATACCTAAATTGTTAATGTTTAAAAGAAGCACTAAGGTGTTTTTCTTTTCATCTTTATAGATTTATTGTGATTTAATCAAATGATTTTCAGTTAGCATTTTTGTGAGAGTGGTGAGTTATCCACTGCTGTCGTATTTCACTCCACGTAGGCTGGATGGTTTCTTTTGTTATTCTTCATTAATTTTATATAGTGTACAATATTAATGTTTTTGATGTGTGATTATTTGGTTATGATTTTTAGAATGAGGAAGAATATTTTCGAAAATTTATTAAAGGCTTTGTTGGAATTTGGGAGTCACAGTTAGCACTTCAATGGACAAACATGCCAGAATGGTCCTCTGTGAGACCGGATGCTGGTCCACATTTGACAAGACTTCCAGAAGAACTTCTGCCTGCAATAGGGAAATTTATGTACATTGCAAAAGACCAGACTGAAAAGGTGCCTTCACACTGACTACATTTTTTTTTATTCCATACCTTGTTTATTGTGTTTATTTTTAATTCTTAATTGTTACTGAAATTTTCTTTCCAGAAAGCATTTGATCTGGAAGCTTTAAAGAATGTTGATTTCTTAATACGATGCATGATAGTAATTTGTCGTAATTTTGACAACATTCCTTTTATTGCTTCATGTGAATATGTAAGTCAGACTGTGGGTATTGCAGCAGCTGTGATTCAAGAGGTAAAGTGTAATTACCAATTTTTTAGCATACTGCATTCTATAACTTTGTTTATTTGGTAAAATGAAAATACCATAGAAGTTCAAAATGTCAAGAATGCTGTAATGTGACTGTCACACATTTTTTATTTGTGGGGAATGTTCATTTTATTTATCATGGAATATGTTCACCTTTCCATGCTTTCAGATGCTAGAAGGTGAACACAGATATGATGACGAGGGATCGTCTTTCATTATCAATTTTTGCCATTTGCTGGAATGTTTATACGATCCCTATTTGACTTGGAGAAGTTTCCTGAAAGGCAGTGTTGTTAATTTTGAAAAGCTTGCCATGCAACCAGCTCTACTTCATGTTGAAGTAGTACCTTTTATTTATGGTGAGAAGATTTTATTAACACTTTTGCATGGTTTTTACTTCTCTTGTCACCATTATTGACTTAAGAAGTATGCAAGAATAAGCTACCTTTTTTTGCAGTTAGTGTCAGTCACTTTATGATTATTGATTCTAAGCTGATAATTATTACAAATTCCATATGTTCTATGTGGTCATATTTTTCCTATAAATGGATAGTGGAAGTTTTACTCTCAAATACCATTGCTTTGTTTGTAAGCATAGTGAAAATGTACTATTATCAAGTCTAATAATTCCATTTTGTTTATCTTCACCCTTCATACCAATTGTACTATTACCTATCTCATGTTGTTGACACATTATCAGCATTTGATTTTACTTACTGTTTGTGAATAGCTATAAGAGCACAAAATGGATTTGTTTGAAATATCACCTTCAAAAGTTACTTTGTAGACATTTGCTGATTTGTACTATGACTGTTGGCTCTTAGCACAATCACATTAATAATTTTCTTTTCTGTTCTCAATATGCTACAAATTTAATAACCAACTCAAATATATATTATTTCATGAAGAGAATTACATTTTGATTTGATTTTATAGATAAATCTGTCAGTTTATTGGCTGATTTTATTGAAGCTATGTTATCAAAGATCAATTTGTTCTCTCTTGGGGATCATCAAAAATCGAACTCTAGTAGTGAGTGAAATGTTTGTCATCTTTAACTCTCTAGGCTCCTAATTGTGCTACTTCTCTTCTACTTTGAGTATTCATGTCTTCCTAAGCCCACCCACTAATCTTTTCTTAGAATCATGTGTACTAGTATTTCCTTCCATTGCATCATCTTTGGAATTTTCATTTTGTCTGCCCTTTCCAATTTTGTATTTTTCCAGAGCCTGATTCAATTTAATTGTTTTGATCAGTGATTGGGCTATAGGATGGATTGTAGTCTTTCTTCTAAATGTATATTAATTTTTTAACATTTTTACTTTTCATTTTCAACTATTGCATGGAGTGAAAAAGTCAAAAGCAATATTTCTTCCTCCACTGTGCAGGATAATTCACAAGAACTGAAATATATAATTTTTGAGTTTGGTAACCATACAATTTTACTTGTAAAATGAATATTTTTGAAATGAAATGTAGATTTTTCTTTACATAATACAGTTAATAAATGTATGCTGCTATGAAATTTAATCCTTGCCTTTATTTTTGCTTAACTCATGTCTTTCGTTACAAATTCTCTAAGAATTGTTCTATTAATTGAACTTTTTCTCTTATTTGTTCTTTTTCATTGTAGGCTGGTGTTGTTAACTAAATTACTTCATTGTACTGTGTGATGTAATTTTTCCATTGTTTTGCCATTCATTTTAACTATTATCTGATAAAGTTATAAACAATAGAATCTTCCTATGTAGAAAAAGGTGATGTACTGAAGACATCAAATTCTATATTGTGTTAACTATAATTTCTGAACCATGGGAATTAAAAAAAAGCTCTTCACATAACATACCTTTTAAATGAACAAGAAATGAATATGATTTTTTCTTTCCTTTATTTGCAGATTGTTCTCAGACAAAATTGGTAGAGTCAAGTCCTCAACTATCAGCTGAGCTTTTGAATGTTTTAGGAGCAGTAATTTCAGGAGCTAGGGTGAGTTTTACATTTTTTGTTTATTATCAATATGTGACTCAATGAGTGAATGTACATGATATGTACAGCATCTGTGTAGAAGATGCACAATTAAAAATCTTCTTGATAAAAAGCATTAATCACTGAACAGCACATTATCAGATTTTACTAGTTTTTTAGGTGTGTGTGAAAATAGTGTTTCATTCACATTTGCCACAAAGTCTGTATTAAATTGTTTGAAGTATTTTATAGGGGAATGCATTGTATTTGTTTATTTGTGTAATATTGTGTTTTTATTAGATTTATTAAATTTTATCAAAAAATGAGTTTTTTATTTAATGAATTTTTGTGCCATATCTGTGTCATTTATTCTTTTATTGCTTTTGAGAGCTTGTATAGAAATATTGTGTAGTGGTCTGAAGTGAAAGACACACTTGGCTAGGAAATGTTTAAATTAATATAATTATTAATTAAAATAATAAATAAAATAATAATACAGCTTAAGAAAATGGAAGCATTGTATCTGCAATTAAATTGAAATACAATTTTTAACTTTTAATTATGAATTATCAATTTATTATTTTTATTTATTAAAATTGTTGATGGTCAACAAATTGGAAGCTACTTCAGGCTAGACCATTTTTGACTGCAATGGTGCTGATAGTGCAATATTTCGGTAATTCAATATTTCGATAATGTAAAACTGAAATTATGAAAATAAAAATAACAAGTCCTTCCATTAAAAAAATTTGTTTGTATTTATTTTAATAAATGCACCATTCTTTATTAAAATCTTATGCCACAGCTAGAGAGAAAGAGCCTAGTGGAATTTTGGCAGTTTTAAGGACAGTTTTTCATATATTATAGAAATTAGAGTAAGAGATTTAAATAAAAGACTATATTTTAAAATTTTTATTTCATTGGAATATTATTGTACATTATATTGTGATATTTTTAGATAGGAATTTATGTTTCCAGATAAAAGAACATGCGTGGACAGGATTTTCCAGAATAAAATCCAATAGGAATTGAGATTTGCTCTCATCTGATTGTCTTCAATAGTGATCACTTTTCTAAGCTTGTTTTTCAGAGTATACTAGAAACAATTGGACAGTTAATTTGTCATTGTGTAATTCTGACCCATCACATCATGCTGTTCTTTGCTAACTATTTTGATTTACTTCCAAAAAATTCTATAGGCAGTCTCAGATTAGACTATTCTCAGGTATCTTAATTTTGAAGTTAAAATTTATAAGGAGTTTTTAATTTCTCTTTTCTGTATTGTTATATGCAGTTCTTGTGGAACTTAAATCTGAGATTAAAAAAAAAAAATGGTTTGAGATGCCAAAACACATTATTGACTCTGTTTCACATTTTCAGAGTATGATTCTAAAGTCCATGCGCCTTCCTTCTGTAGAAAGAAAGGAAACTTTAGATAACTCAGCACACCCTCTGTACCAGGGGGTGAGTTGCCTCATACTGTTGAGTGTTAGTTTCAGAAAATGCATGGACTGTCCCTTGTTCTCGCTGCATCAACTCATAGTTTACTGATCTTTTAACTGTATGTATTACACACACACAAAAAAAAAAAAAATTCTCATGAAAATAATTGAAGTATAGAAGTTTCTCTTATGCACAATTTGTGTCTTTACCTGTTTGAAATTCAAACAATTTTCAGTATTATTTATTTAAAAGTGACAGGCAATAAAACTTGAGTGAATATTACATATAAATTGTTTTATTTGTGTAATACAAATAGTACAGCCATTCTTGATTTAATTGTTTTGCTTTATCTTAAATGCCTACATATGTTTGTATTTGTGGTGCTCGTTTTTAGGTTTACCATGTTCACTTTTGTAGCGTTGCAACATATGTGACTACCTGCATGATGTTCTGCACTGTGGCAACTGCAAATATGTATGTGATGAATAATGAAATCTTAAGCATTTTGTTGCAGTATGTTATGCTTAATTGTTTCCTGTTTAGAAATGCAAGTAATTGTATGGATTTTGTTTTGCTGCTTCTGTAGAAGACATTTGTATTGTTTTTCACTGAAAGAAGTAAATCATCAGTCTGTCTGTGATATTGAAGTCACCATTCAAAAAAGAAAATAGAGAAGATACTGATTCTTACACAGAATATATTATTTGTCTAATGTTTGAGCTGCATAAGCTTTAAAATGAGATGTTTGTGTTGGTTAGATTTATTAATTGAGTTGCAATTGACAGATCGACTGGCTGATTTAACTTGTGAAGCTTGATGTTTGGATATGCTATGAAGCTTCAAGTTATTAACCCACTGAAAGTTAATGTTCCATCAATCCATCTTTTGCAGCATAATGCTCTTAGAGCCATTTGTCCTGCAACTGTTAATGTTGTGATGAGTGTGATCGCTTGCATTGATGCAGCTGTGGAAGTACGAAGGACAGCCATTCAGTGTTTTGTCATGATGGTAAAAGTATTGGATCAGTGTTCTCCTGATCAGGTAAATAGTGTTATTATGTTAAGCTTTTTTTTCTCGTCATTGTACACAATTTACTAGTCATGACCGATTGCTTTGAAGGAACTTTTATCAGAGTTTATTTTTCCAGAACATGCTATATATGCATTAGAATCTATGTTAGTGTTAATCAAATTGTTTAGTTTGGAAGTAAATGTTCAGTTCATTTTAAAAAGATGATGTTTTTAAATTCAGAAGTTGTGAAAATGATGGTCTCATTTATTACAATATATACAAAAAATTACAGAAAACTATACTATTATTTATCAGACTAATTTTGAATTATTAACTCTTTTGATTGGTTTGTGCAGCGCCAAATTGAAATTGGTACCATTCTACTGCAATACAAAGAACCGTTATTAGAATTAGCTTCTCAAGCATCATCAAATGCTGAATTGAAAGAAGAAAAGGTCTCTCGAGGGGAGATGCTGGGGGACATGGTGGCAGCTCTGCGGCGATTGCTGCAGCCTTCTAGCAGTTCCAAAGGATCTGGAGAACATCTTCGACGAGTGATGGTTGACAATCAGATGCTGGAAGTTGTGCTTTCTGTATTGGACGAATGTGTAGTAAGTATCAGAAAATTCAGTAATCTCTGAGTTTAAGGAACTTGGAGAAAGTGAACATTCAGTTATAGTGAACAGAAGTTGCTGGTCCTGATACATGTAGCTAATACACACTCAAAGATTCAGTTGTAGTTAACATAGTAAATACAACTTCCTGAAAGAAACTTCTTGCTTCGGTATCGAGAATTCAAGTAGCACTAAGGGTTAGCATGGGTAGTTGCGAGTTAATTTTTTAACATCTATTGTAAATAAAAGGTATTGTAAGAACCATGAGAAAATTGCTTCAGCTCATTGGAAGCAGTTCTGTCCAGCCTCAAGACTTCATGGATACTGACCACAAGGTGAAAACTAGTGGAATTGGATGTAGCTAGGACATTGTCAATATAGTTAAGGGGACTTTCAAAACAGAAGAAAACAAGGGACAAATAAAATATCAAAATGAAGAAAGTACTTTAACTGTGCAATAGGCATTGACAGGTGTTAAAACTGCACTGAGATATTTAGAATGTGTGAACAATGTAGTATAATTTGTGATGAAAGCATAAATATTGAAATTTTCAATTGTTGGTGATTTACTGTATGTCTGAAATAATTAACCCATCTTACAGGAAGGTGTATTGTTGTTGTATATAGTGAACCCAAAATGTTAGTATTAAAAGCTTTGCTATAACCAGTGGCAACTGTATTATAGTTATTGTATTTTTGAAAATGTTTTTTGTGATTTGGTTTTGAAGAAATTAATTTGAGGAAATGAAAATGTCCAACTACTATCAAATTTTATATGTATGATGAATTTCTTAAGAACAATTATGAATTAAAAATAATTATAAATACTTGCATTTCAGAAATATCCAGAGAAGCAGAAAATTGCAACAATTTGTGTTAGTACTGTGTCTTCCATGCTACATGGTTCTCTTCATGGGAAAGTGAGTACTTATCTATGATTACCCTGTGATTCCATTGAATTAAGGCTGCTGTTATAAATTGTATAGTCACACCAATTTAATAGAACTTCGCAAAAGAGAAAGAAAATACAGAAATATATCAACCTGCATAAGAAAACAAAACAAGTTTGTTTCAAATTTATTTGTTCTGTTGAATATAAGTTTTTGAAGAACTGTGAATATTAACCTTCTGTTTTTCATTCAGCGAGAACTAGAGTTAAACTGAATTGTATTTCATTAACGCAGAAATAAATAAAAGAATATAGTTTTTAATTCTTAAATTTTCGTATATATTTCTCAGATCTCATCAATGTCATAAGAACTGTTTGTGAGTATCTGTTATGAAAGACAAATCATATAAGCAATAGAATCAGATGTAACGTTGACTGTTCTTATGAATGGTAGTATTATGGTGCTATATATACTAAATATATTATTTTTATTTTACATTTTTCTGAAGAAAAATTCTTTGACAACATATTTTGCTGTAGTATCTTACCAAATGGAGTTTGATTAAGAAATTTAATATTATTCTACTTTTAAATTTTATCACTAATATCTTTGCAAATTTTTTTCTATTATACCATGATAATCATAGTGTAAAAAGTATAACATGTACTCATAAATATCCAAACATGCCAAATGAATTAAAATATTGAAAAATATTTTCAACATTCAATGACCTGTTATATTTTTTATATACTAAAATGTAGAAACTGTATGTTCTAAAGGTAATTGTGCCTTTTCAACAAATTAATAATATATTAATTCAATGTTCAATTTGATATTTTGACTTTTTAGTGTTTATTTGATACATATTTAAATTTAATTTACTTCTTGAATGTTTTATGTCCATTTCTAGGAGAGAATGCTGAAGATTTTTGGCTATGATCGTTTGTTGGTGGGTCTAGCTGCACTCGATGAACCGTCACGTGAACCTCTAGAAGCTACATTGGCCATGGCCAGTGGGAGTGGCTCTTCTCATGAAAGCAAACTGAAGGTGTCTAAATTTGTTTTTAACTGTTTTTCTTTTTTTTTATTTGTGTTAATTACACACAGTTCCAGGTATGGCCTCCCCACTCTTAAATACCAATGGGGTGGTTTAGGACGGAATTGTCAAGATCATGGGAGATAATAAGATGAAAATTATGATAATGGGAAGGAAATGTGCATGGTCCATGTTAAGGGTCCTTCATCACCATTCCTCTGGATGTTCTCTGCAAAACCATAGAAACCACTGATCAAAACTGTTGACCTAGACATTAGCCTCCAGTGAGGGCCACAAACTCATTGTAGTTAAACACTTAAATAAATGTTTAGTACCTTGCTAGGATTGAACCTGTGATCTCCCAGTACCCATAAAGAATTGTCTTAAGCTTGTTTCTTCCAGCATTGGTTGTTTTTAATTCTTATTGAAGATTAAAAATAGAAACTACTACCGTTAATTGCATGACTAACCATTCTTGGAGGATCATAAGAATATTTTTTCTTACGGTAAAACATTTGTGGCATTAGGGAATTAATAATTACTGTAACTTACATTAGTGGTTACTTTGGCATATAGGTATACTGGCATATTTTCTAGATGCCATGGAACAAGTGTCACAAACTTAATACTTAATATAACAAACTATAACAAGCGAATTATCACTGCCATTGCTGTTCTTTCTTGAAATCACTTATCGATTATAAAATAGAGCTCTTCCCTTTCCTCTATAAAGGCAATTTTTCTTGAATTTGTGCGAAATGTTGAAAATTTATATCAGAAACCCTCATTTGTTTTACAGCTTTGACTTTGTTTTTGTTTGTCTTACCGGATACTTCATAATATATTTTTGTTTTTTTAAATTTTTCCTCTTATTTCCTAATATTCACAACCATTATGTTTAATATTATGTTTACAAACTTATATGATAGTAATTATGATGAATTGTTTTTTTAACTTGCAGGATGCAGATGCCTTATTGCTACTAGTAAGCTGTTTAGGATATATTGGTCGTGAGGATCAGCTTTGGTTGACTGGACAAATTGCTCAGTTATGTTCAGCTGACTTGCAGAGGTATGAACTTTGTAATGTGATTTTGAATATAATTTTTGGTTATTCTGTAGAACTTGTAGGTTTACATTAATAATTCTATGATGTATACAAATCATATTCTCAAGTCAGGTGCCACAGAAGGCAATTCAATTAATAATTGACCATTGAATTAACATTATGTTAATGCATTACTAATCTTGCATAATGAGATGCTTTTTAAAAGTAATCTTGATAATAGCAAAAAGAGCAGCTACACTTGTATTTTTATGTGGTTTTCATTTGTTCTGCATATTGTTCTGTAGTGTAGTGGTGCATTTCTTTATGTTTTGGGGTACATTTTTAGGCAGTGCTTTAACATGCCACCCAGCTCAAATTAGAGTTGACATGTAAGTCATGTTTGAGATGTAGTGAGAGTGTATCTTTAGAACTGGGGTTTGCGAATGTTCAGCATGTTGAACTGTCTTTGCTAGGAAGAGTATTGCAGTACAATGTTGTGCTTGATATTTCATGAATGAACTTTGTTGTAGCAAACACTTAGCATGTCGGAAAGGAGTGATCTTAGAAGTTTGTCATTCTCTGTCGTTATCTCATACCATGTTGAACCCAAAGGCTGTCAATGAAATGATAAAGCTACTGGAAGTTTTAGCATCACATTCTATAACCTCTTATGAGCTCAAAGAATTATTTCTATTACTTCGAGAAGATGGAACTATCAAGGTACCTGTAGTTCTTATAGGATGCTTTGCATAATAACAAAATGTATTGATTTGCATTTGTAGATACATTACTTTTTTCATTTTCAGTTCCCCTATAGGCTGCAGTTGTTACATACAATATCTTCTGTTGCTCGGAAAGATGATTTTATGTACTCACATAGTTATTTTGATATTCAGAAAGATACAGGTATGACATGAGAATCATTTATTAAAATTTTCCTTCTAGTGAAATATATTTAACCTTTTCTAGCCATTTTACTGCACGTTCTGTGGGTATTGTGAGATTAGTGTTTGGTATAGAAATATCATGTTCGGAAAGAAAAGCTTATAATTGGACAGGAATATTATGAAATATATTTTTAAATGATAAATCACAGAAACAGTATGATAACTGCTTGCAGGGGTAGGGGTAGGATTGCAGGGCATTGTTACATTCAATCTATTTGTAGAATCCAAAATTTGAGTCACATTCATTGCAATTATTTTATTCATTTTATATTCATGATATAAATCTACTGAGGATTTAAATCTATTTTTTGTATTTCATAATGTTGTTAGAAGCAATTTTTATAAATGTACTACTTGTTGTTTTGCTTTTCAGATGGAATAACTGTCCCTGGAATTCGTAAGTGGGCAGGAGGTGGCGCAGGATTTAGTTTCCATTGTTGGCTTCGTTTGGATGAAGTCCATGATACTGGCAGCCATGCACCAATACGTCGACAACTCTTCAGGTAAATATCTTATTTATATTATGGTGTGATAATTTAATATATTCATAAAAGGTGAACTATAAATTGGAACATAGAATTATATTTATTAAGCTCCTCTCTGCAAAAACCTACACATCTATTCTTGTATTTGAATACATTATTTGAAATATTGTGAATCTTGTTTATATTTCTTCTGTTTTACAGTCTTTTGACGGGGTCTGGTGTAGGATTAGAAGCATTCTTCCACAATGATGGTTGTTTAGTAGTCAGTGTAAACAGCAAAAAAGAATGCTACACAGCTTGTGTAGCAGATTTTCCTCTTGTGAATGGATTATGGCATAGTATAGGCATCTGCCATGCAGCAGCAAGGTATCAACCTTTTTCTCTTCATGAATTGATTTATTATTAATGCTATCTGAATTTTTAGTTATAATTTGTTATAGGAATACACAGTAGATAGATATTTTCCATCATCATAAGTTTATATTTACTTTTTTATTATTCCTATCAATATAAAACGATAATATCTATCTTTCAACGAGTTAAAATTCGAAAACATTTTCATTCTTTAAGTGTCTTTATACCTAGAATAGAGAAACATAGATGATGCTATGGGAAACTGTGTCAATACTTTATCAGTAAATAATATTTAAGGTTCCTTTTACCAAAAAACATGTTGCACTCTTTCTCGTATATTATTGTCTCTTACATGTACATAGTGTAGTCAAAATTCATGTTTTGACAGTGCTTGGTACAGAAAGGACATTTTGTTTCAAACATCTTTGTATCTGTTTCTTAAAAACACTGGTGTCTAAATTATACAGGATTTTCACAAAGATGGATATTCCCTATTCAAATTGAACAATAATTCTTGAATATTCGTTACCTAAAGATACTAGGACATTTTTGAAATTTTCTTGAAAATGTCTTCAAAGTTTTTCTGTTAATTGTTTGTTTGAATAGAGAAAAAAGATATATAGAAATGGTGCAGGAAAAATTTTCACAAAACATAGAATTTTTGAAAATTGAAAAGTTTAAAATATATTTTATCCTTCCCACTTTATTAAAGATAGAGATTTTGTTCCCAACAAAATCTGTTCTTCAAATTTGTATCTTTAAATAATATTGTCTATGCTTCTTCTGAAATTACAAGTAGATTTCTTGTAATTTTTAATAAAATTGTGACATTGAAAAAAAGAATTCATAATCAAGACTCTCTCCAGAAGGCACCAAATTCTTCAATTTTTTGCTTGAGTAGAGGAATATTTACTTAATAATGTGGCATTGGTCTTATTCTTGTTAAAATTCTTGGAATAAAACCAACCAATTTAATACGAGAAACCACATGCTGTTTTAGCATGGCTAGTTTCATAGGGAAATGTATAATATTGTGTACTTTAATATACATTCAGATTAGGGCTATAATGCCATATTGGTTGTCAAAGTGGGCTGAAGAATTTGTAAAATAATTACAGTTTATTTGTGTTTTAGACGCCCATTTGGACAGAACCAGCTATCTATGTATATTGATGGAGTGCAAAGAATGGCTGTTACAGTGAAATCTCCATCAATGACTGATGTAAGAATATTCTTTCTTAATTGGGTCTTTGCATGGTTGTTATAAAATACAGGAATGTAAATAATTTGAACTGAAGCATTATAAGTAATTCATTGATTATTATACCACATTATTCAAGGGTAGTTATTCTAGACATAAGAGTAATTTACCTTTAATACATTCAGGTCGCTGTTAGTACAATCTACGGGTGTTGACAGGTCGCTTTAATTTAGAATACTTAGCAAATATACCGGTATGCAATTTGTACTGTGTATTTGCTTATATATGCCAATTTTTTCTGTACGCTGACTATTCATCAAGGTTTCTATATCAATAAAGTGTCTAAATACGCTATTAGATTTTGTTTGTTGCCGTTTAATTGGTAGTAAATAGCTCTGGAAAACACTGATGAGCATACCCTCTGCACTGATACCTAAGGAGCATTGTTCAAAATTACCACACCTATGCTAATTATTGGGAATAAAACATAATATTTTCTTCATTATTGTGACAGACACTAATGTAATGTAATGTATGACAAGGTTATAAGAATTAAATTGAAATAAAGAAGTTAAATTTTTTTTGGACTCAATTTTTTGTGTTTTTATATTGACACTTTTTTAAAAATTATTAATGTAAACATAAAAGTGGGAACTTCATATAAAGGTACAAGATTGTTACTTTTAAATAAAAAAAATAATCTTGCTTCTATGATTATTTTCTTAGAAGATATGACCCTTCAAACATACCCAAAAACTTTATTACCTATGGTGGGAAAAAGGGGGGCAGAGGCTACGACCTGAATGTGTTAAAAATTGCTGTAATTTGTTTTGGGTAAATAGGAATATCATGCTAATGAGGACGTTAGAATAATAATGTATAATTATGAGTTATGAATAATTAATAATAATGATTGTCCTCCATCAATCTTAGAATGTTGATGGAGAAAATTGTCATTTTAATAGTGTTGATTGGCTTAGTATTTTATGTAATTAAGAAATATTTCCTTTTTAGGCATTTTTACATTGTGTGATTGGTACTGCTAATCAACGGGTTGGCAATCTTGTAGCATCTGGTGGTGGAAAGTCTAGCGATTCATCTTCTGAACGTGGTTTGTTGCCTACTCTCATCAATCAGGTAAAAATGTTTTGTATTAAGAAGTTTTAAAATTGATTCAAGAGTTATAAATGGTAATGGTAATTTCATTAAACACAGTCAAAATCTCTTGTTATGTGGCCAGATGTAAATGTGACGGAAAAAGTTTGTTTTATGAGTATTTTCTTTACGTAAGAGTATTTTACAAGAGTATAGTAATATGTACCTATTTCATGTGCCTTTCAGGTGCCATCCTACTTGACATTGCCATTGCGCTCGTCTGCTCCTCTAGACCCCAATGTTCGCAGCTTTCCAGCTGGAGCTCAGGACTCTGTGTGGGGTACACCAGGTTGTTTGAAGGGCCAGCTAGGTACAATGTGTCTCTTTCAGGAAGCTTTAACATCTGGTCACATTCGTACCTTACATGATGGTGGTGAGTTTCTTGATTTTTCTTTTTCAATTGTTTTTTAAAAGTATTTGGTTTGCTCATGACTGTTATGTCACTTGCTACATTAGGTGTTTTGGTTACTGTTAATGGAGAATGTTCAAATAATATTTTTCTACAACTGAATAAGAGCAAGTATTTTGATGTGCGATAATGTGAAGTGTACAAATTTTTAAGAAATATGAACATTTTTATTGTGTCCATGAGTTTTGTTTAACAATGAAAGTAAAGAGAAAAGTGAGAAGGAAAAAGGTTTGCTCATTTGCTCAATTTTTGTTGTGATTTTGCTGACCATACTTATAATTTTGACAGCATCATTTTTTGTGTTTAAGAGCTAGGACATTTAGGGCAATTTCTCAGATATCTGCTTGTAACCTCTCAAAGGTTCCTGTCTTTCTTGAAGTATGTTTTCATTTCTTTTTTAATATAAATTTGTGAGAAAAAAATTCATATTGTAATCATGCATTTTTACATGACCTTAAATTTCATTAGCTGCATGATCTTGATGAGAAATTTTTGATTTAACCATGTTACTGATGTTTTGTTTTTTAATAATAATAAAAACAACCTTTTTTATTTAACTGAGAAAAAAAAGTGTTGAGTAGGCATTGTACATTCACATTTTATGGAAAACAATTTGATTGAGAAACTGTATTTTTGCATTTTATCTCAAAGATCTTTGTATATTTAATATGATTATACCATGTTAACAATAGAGTTCTCACCACTTATAAATAGCCAACTGGGTCAGAAGAATTCAATTGCTGAGAAATATTTTCAGAACTCATTCAATCTTTATGTTATTAGACAAAGAGAAGAAAGAGTAAAAAAATGAAGCAATACTTACAACTCGGACACTCACACTCATACATTGCCATTGTGTGACAGTTCTAATTGTTTTAGGGGTAATTGCCTTTTCAGCAAATTACAAATACACTGCTCAATTTGATCTTTAAATATTATAGATTAAAACTAGATTGTAGATTTATTTTCCTTATATTACCTGTTCTATAAATACTCATTTTGAAACCTTTGCGATACATTTTTATAGGTCCTAATTGCAAAGCACTGTTTTGGCAAGATGAAATGCCTGAATTTACTGAAATATGTTCCAAATTGGTATTCTGTTACTCTCCATCAGCTTGTTGGGACAATGTGTGTCTTGATCTTTCACCAGCATGCAAATTCAGTGGTCATGCTGGCTCTTCTCCATGTCATACCACAAGTATTAAGGTACAGTATCAAAGAAATAGAAAAATAAATTCCATTTAGTGTTATTAAATTAGGTTATTATTGTGTCTCATTATTTAACTAAGGTAAAACCCCTCTTTTACGTTATTCATGGAACCCCAGGGAGACTGGTGTAAATTGTGTGTGGGAAGTGTAAATTAGAGGATTTTTTCTTCAAAACTATGAGTTGTAATGTATTTACATGCACCCAATTAATAAGAATTATAATATGCTTTAATATGCAGTATTAGATGTATAATAAAGAATAATGCGAGGTCAAATAGAAATCTGACTGGAATTTGCGACATCGGAAATTGAAGACATACTAACATCAAAGCGTAGTGCATTTTAAATGTCGCAACGACCCTCTGACACGTCCCCGCCATCGACTGATGGTAGCTTTTGATAATGCAACAATGTACTCATTGTTGGATGAAGGAAGGGCAATGATATTTCTACTGTAAGAAAAAATATGAAGTTTACATTTTCCCCAACTCAATAGAAAGTTTGTTTTCAACAGATCATAATGGTTTTCAATAGTTAAGTATTCTTTTAATTTTAGTATTATTTTAAATTTATTTATGAAATAATAGAAAAGTGGCTTTATGATAAAATTTTATAGTTAAAAATGTATGGAGAATCCCAGACTTTAATGTTTGAGAATGGGAAAATTTGTTTATTATATAATGAGAAAATGTGAAATTGTCTAGGAGGATAATGTACAATAAACATTTCAGCGTGAAGCTACCTCTCGTAGGTCTGTTTCACATGGGCGTTGCGTTGACGTGCGTTACCTAACGCTGATGACGTTCGCCGCGTATGCGAACACGACGTTCGCCGTAATGACGTATGCGAAGCGGCACACCAGCACTCTTGGTGACGTGCGTTGTGCCCATAGCCCAAGCTAAACGCTAGTGAATATTATGCGCAGTTTCTAGCTTTCAACGCGCGACGCCCGGTAGGCGTCGAGCGTTGGCAACAATGCACATTCCAGATGGTGGTGTGGCTAGCAGGATGTTGTTAATTGCGGGAAAATTGAAATTATACTGTCGTAAAAGGAAGGTGTTTGTAACATTACGGAAATTGAATTAAATATACGGAAATTGATGGGACCGACGAGAAATCTTGTGAATGCCGGGAAAACGTAAATTGCAGGAACGTAAAAGCGGGTTTTACTGCATATACCAAGCTTCTTGAACGGTTGTTTTCTAATTGGTAGGATCAGTACAGAGGGTGTTCAATTCCTTTGAGATACTCATGCAGTGTATTTTTCTTTCTAATAGCTTATTGAATCAACTGCAGTTTTGAATAAATGACTCAATAAGGAAATTAAGAAAATCTAAATGCATGAATAGGATGATTGCAATAAATAATTCATATCATCCAAAGAGAGGAAACCATTTGGAATTCTCCATAAATGATGTAATGTGTTGTTGTAGAATTGAGTGTTTTATCAATGTTATTGCATTATTATGAGAAGATAAATAAATTAAAATGCAGAGTTCCCTTAAATTTTCCTGCTGATTTAAGAGTTTTATTTTAATTTTTAAGTAAGATTTAAAGTCTACAGTTTTTTTATCTTTGTGATTATTCTTGTAATCTTTGTTGTTGTTGTTGTTGTTGTTGTTAAGTTACAACTGTGAACTTGAGAATTTTCTTGCTTTTTCCTTGTATATACAGAATGTGGTTAATGGTATCGGTGGAGTTCAGGTATTACTTCCTATTTTGGAGGCTGCATCTTCTAACTCAGATGAAGGGCCTGATTTAAGTTTTCTTTCACCATCTGTGGAAAAAGAGCTTAAACTCATTGAGAATCGACAGAATTCAGGGGATTCGGAAGATGACTGGGAGATACTTCCATCCAGTTCTTACTCAGGTGCTTGAGAATTGATGAAAAATGCCTACATTTTGAGATGCTGGGATTTATTTTTTTAATATCTTTATGTTTTAAATTTTCAGATTGGAAACTGGAACAGAATCCTATATCTGGATTTCTCAGTTTGTTGAAAAATATGGTGGCTGGATCCGCTTTCAATCAAGAACAGCTGTTGTCCAGTAAAGGCCTGGCTCTTGTTGGATCCCTCATGGCAAAGGTCTCTTTATAACTATTTAGTAAAAACTAAACTACAAATTAGCACGTACTGTTAGAAATAAAGTAAAATTGGAAAATTTATTGAAAAATAGATATTTTAAGTTTTCCCAATACTGTTTGTTTATCCTATTCCTGATCTGTTGCCCACAACACTAGCGGTACTAGACCAGCCCTGAGGAAGACCATGATAGATGGTTGAAATGTCAGTTTCACTACCAGTGACATGGTGTCAACTAGACAGTAAACTAAAATAAATATATTGATTTTGAGGATACTTACATGAAGTCTCAATTCTCAAAATTTTCTCAAAAATGGTCCGGAAACCAAAATAATCAATCAATCTTTGAGAGAATCTCAAGCTTAATTTTTTCATTTTTAAGTCCTCTGAATCTCACTTGAAAAATACTTCAATTTTCAATGTAGTTAATGTAATGGAAATGGGTATGGAAAACTGTATAATTAAATATAATGTTGAAATGTTACTTTTAGATATATTCAGTGTGGCCTCCCTCAAGAAGCAAGTTACTAAAGCTTTTACTAATTTTCAATCCTAACAAAAAATTCAGTTCAATACATCAATTCAATATATCAATTGTTAACATTATAAACAACTATAAGTCAATAAGTAAATAAATGCACACTTTATATTTAGTATAAATGAAAAATTCTTTGTAAGAAAACATCAAGTCAGCTGGACACTATCCTGACCCTTCTCAAAACACAGAAAAATCCTGGTTGTATCTCTGACTTAATAGTGGGGATACATTGTTTTTGCGATTAGTTCTGAATGTCATTGAAGTTTCTTGCTTTCTAGGCTCGCCCAGAGTTGATTGATGTCAATGTTCTCATGGCTGTGCAATTACTGGTGGAAATGGCAAGAGAAAGAGATGCATCAAACTTGACCCTCTTACGTTCCATCCATCAATATATTTTGTTCAACTTTGCAATTTGGTCTCGGGCCCAGTTTCATATTATGATTGGTAAGCAAATTAATTTATTAGCACCTCTTATGTGAAGTGTTATTTTAATGTGTTTTTAAAAGTCAATTTAATATTTGAGAATAAAATTAAATAATAAAGCGTGTGTGAATGTGTATTTTTACACAAATTATTTTGTGCTAGTCAATGTTTGAAGGGCACCATTAACAGGATTTTTGATGAAAGGTCATTAATGAAAAGATAGAAACACAAATATTTAATGAAAAGTAATTATTAATAATACATGAAATTAACATGTATCTTAGTTTAGTATGTTAAATGTTATGTGTTTTCTTTCTTACTTAATTACTACAATTTAAAGGTAGCAGTAATCCGATTAATGAATCTGCTTGAATCTGTCTAACTTCATAATTGTAATAAAAATACACAATCAATAATTGATCAACCGCACCTGATTTATCCTCATTCTATTTCTTGTTCTTCATCCTTGTTGGTTTTTGATTGCACACTTATAAGTGTCTGTTATGAGATTTGTGTTTTGATTATCTGCAACATCAGCTGTCAGTTGATTTTCATCTTTCTACTCTTAATGGGATTAGAATGTACTTTGTATTGTTTAATAGCTGCACTTGCTGATGGATATTTTGCAATGTATACTTTTATTTATAGGCCATGTGCAATATCTCTCAACAATTATAAAGGAAGATCGTAAATACTTCCGTAAAAAGTTTGGGATACCATTTGTACTCAGTGTGGTTCATCGTTATCATGCCCCTTGTACCCATCTGACTGAAGAAGAGGGCCAAACTGTGCGACAGGCCTTATTTGGGCTGATTCGTTATTATTTGTCTCGAGAAGCTTCTATTCGTGAAATAACTGCCATTATTGGCTTTCTGTGTGCTGTTACTGATGAGAATGTGGTGAGTGATGCTCTTCAAATTTCAAAGTGAGGAGGAATATATGTTTACTTACAGTAGTAAGTAAGTAGTTTAGTGTTAAATGGTATTCAGAAATCAGAAAATGTGACAATCGTATAATCAATTACATATGCTGATGAGGTTTTTGCGTACTTTAATTTCATTCTTTAATCAAGGGAGTTCTGCATGTCACTATGTTTTTTCACTAACCATCCTTGTTGCAGTTGACTGAATTGGTAGAAATGCTATCTTCTCACTTGGAGAGCAAGAACTGTCGAGACCAAACCATTTTCTTACTGTATGAACAACATCATGCTGAACTGCTTCATTGCCTTGTTGTTGAATGTAATTACGGCCTAAAACTCAAATACAGTGTTCTGAAGGTTAGTTATTTCTTGATTGTGTTGTGATAAGAGTAAGGAATGTTACGTGTATTATGTTTTCAAATGGAGTCAGTTTGATTTGAAAAATAAATAATATTGTTGAGGAGAAACATCAATGAAAAATATTGTTTGGCAATAAATTTCATTTAATCGTTTGTATAATATGTAAAGCTTGCTTTTTGCAAAAACACTAATGTAATGAAATTTGCAATTAAGTTGTCATTAAGAATGCTTATTAGAAGCAATTCATACATGATGGGTTTTAAACATTTATTTTTATTAAATTATTACTTACAGATTAAGATTATTATTTGTTATATTACCTATATTATTACGTATGATTTAAGGTTATGCTTCCAAAAAAAGATTTTTCAGATAGAATGTTTCCATAAGCAATAAAAAACGAAAAACCAACTGGATCACTATAAATTGTAGTGTTATCGGAGCAACCTCTAGTGGCACAAATCAGTAGTTTTCACAATGTGCTATTTGGTGCAACAGCCTGAGTAGAGATAGAAGATAATGGAATTTGAATTAGCAAAATACAATAAAAGTTAGTAGGCTTCTCTAAATTGACTTCATTTGGCAGCTTTCGTGATTTTGTGTGGTGCATACCCTGATTTTGTGTGTCAGTTTGGGTTAAAAAAATTATAAAAATTGTTGCATGATAATCTCTTTTCAATTTTTAGATTGCTTTATGACCTTTTAAAATAAACTACAATGAGCATATAGGCTACTTTTAGTAAAACATTTTTGGCAACACAAAATTTAACTGGGAATTCTGAGAACACCGATCTCAAAAACGTACAAAAAGTGTATTCTAACTACACATGGGAGCAACAATTATCCTTTTTTTTTCATACTAGGAACCCCCTTGTTTTTCTGTCAAAAAATCATTTTTTGCTGCAGCATTACATTATTTTTTCTTTACTATGTAAATAGTAAAGAGAAAGTAATAATTTTGTTACTTGTCCTTTTCACTGGATTTATAGTCAGCTCTTTTAATCTGAAATATGCTTGTTCTAATTTAATATGATTATTGTTTCAGCTCATTGGCATCTTGCTTAAGTCAGATTTAGTGTTTGAACGCAATAAGGCTCGTTTGAGGTTGCAAGATTCTTCATTGCTAGGTTCCTCTTCAATGGGTTTATATGCAGGCATGGTAGCCTGCTTACGTGATCAACCTCTATCAAAGGAAATAGTGGGACTTCTCCTAGACCATATGTTGCAAACTGGTTAGTATTGAATGAACAAATTAGAAAGGGAGTCAGTTTCGTGCTTTCTCACTGGCTGAGTTGGCTGAAAGTCAGCATTACAATGGTCTCTGCAGTGTTTCTGACTGGGAGGTTCTAGAGTTCAAGTCCTGACATTGGCAGATTTTGGACAATAGAATTGTTAGGTAGTTAGATCAAATTCAGATGCCGCCTGGAGTGGCTGGCTATTCTGATTGTTAGTTTTCTGTGTTTTTTCTATCAATATTGGCCAAATGCTGGAGCAGTACCCTTACAACCAGGTCATGGACCATCCTCTGCCTCTTCCTCTCCCCTTATACACATTTAGGTGTGCAGCATTATACTGTCACACATGTCAAGGGACCATTTGGAGCTTGTTCTGGCTGGGGTTTGCCTCGCTGGAGGAAATACCCAGAGGAAACTCCCCCGCAAACTGATGTGTAAGTTGGCTCCTTATTTCACTTTTCAGCAAGGGAAGTACACCTCCACCTTCCACATATACCATATTAAACATTCATTACAAATCAATCCACCCACCTTTCTATTTAATTATTATGAAGGAAAAGTAAAAAAAAAATTAAGTAATGTGATTTTATATTCTTTGTCTTTATTTGTTAGATTTTACGTATTGCTGGGCCAGTAGTATTTTCTTTTTGTTTTTTTCTGTAGATAGCAGTGCTGGTTTTGCTGGAGCACTTGCTCTTCTCCATAATCTCTCTGGAGCTACGTTGGATTTGAAGTTAGAGGCTGCGAGGAAAGTCCTCACTAACATCTTTATGAAGGTTTATGCTCCAAGGCAATTTGCCAAGCAAGTGAGTATACACTTGACATTTAATAATAAGTAAAATTCTTTATAACTATGTACAAATTTTCCATTTAACTTTATATCTTTTGAATTTATCTGATGTGAATTTCTTGCTTTGATGGAACTTGATTTTTTTTTTATGTTGAAAGAGCATACATCCTGAGGAAGTCTGCAATCAAAGAGAGAAATCCACTTCTACCAATTCTTTATTGTCTTGATTTTCCAGAAACCCATAACCATTAACATTTGATGGTGTATATGTTGAAATTGATGTAATTGGAAATATCAACATAATTGTTTTGTATTAATGTACATTTGTTAATGTAATTTGGTTTTGTGTGCATAAATATGCTTACAAGTTCATAATCCATTTATACAGACCTTTTTGTAGTTTTTTGTAGTGAAATAAGTGAATTGAATTTGCAAATCTCCAGGTTGGATGGCAGGAGTGTGTAACTAGGTTGCTGGTAAAGCAACCGATAGTAACTGGAGCTTTGAGTGATCGCCATTTTGGTGAAGAACCTGAGGTTCCTCCTGAACCACTAGATCTTATGACCTTTGATGAAGAACGTTTGGAGTTGGAACCTGTATCAGTCTCTAGCACTACATGTGGTAATCATTCACCAAATCCTGCAGCAAGACTGACCTCACATGTTTCTGATGCTGCAATGTTTGTTGAACACGAAATAAAAGGTATTACTGTACTCTTGTGACTTTAGTACAGACTTGAGCATCAGCTTGAGAAAATGATTTTACTTTTCCATTTATAATTGTGGTTCTTCAACATTGTAAATGGTACGATATTACAGAAGTAGCAGAAACAGTTACAAATGCTGTGGCTGGGAATATTAATTATGCTGCGGATAACATCTCTTCAGTAGTGGCTTCTGCATATTCTGTATTCCGGCAGAAGACTGTAGAGATGCAGGAGAGCTTAGAAGAACTCGGTGAATCTGTTTCTCGACTGAAGCAGCGGCGAAGTCTTGCATCATTGAGCGAAGAACCCTCTGAAGCAGCTCAGGCATCACCAAGACTTTCTAGAATGCAACTACCTGTACCAGGACTGGATTTGGATTCTATTTCATTGGGAAACAGGTAGAATAATTAATGCTAAGCTGAAATATCATGTAGAGATCCAGAAAAATTCTTCTGTTTCAAATTTGTTTATTTTGCAATTGAATTTGCGTGCTAATTGAATCTTACAGCCATATTTCTAGCCACCATTCATGAAATCTATAAAATGCTTGGACATAGAGATATGTATGCATAGAGTTTTATATGCTAGAATAAATATCATTTACACTACAGATCTTTTTTTCTTATCATTTATGGACTTGTTTAGGTCACAGTCAAGTAGTAGCACAGAGGACTTGTCCTCCCCACATCAGGGTGCTCCTGATAATGTGAGTAGAGATTCAGCAAGTTTGGCATCTGTACCTGGCGTCACTGGAGGAGACGAAGATGAGGACGATTCAACAGTGGAAAGAGAAGATAGTCGGAGAGCTAGTGGTGAAAGTGTTGGCCGCAGTAGTCATACCGAAGGTGGTGTGGCTTCTGAGCTTCCTAGCTGGCGTCGCGAAAGCATTGAATCTCCGGGCTCCCCAGAACGCATGGTTGATGAAGCTGAAGAGCTGAGCTATCTTGTGGCTAATATTCTCTTTACTGTGATGTGGCGTGGTGTGGAGGGTTCAAGCAAAGATGCATGGAAAGTTAGTATTGGCAAATATTTTTTTTCTTTTTTCTTTTCTTTTTTTTCTTTCAATTTTTATTTCAATATGAAGGTTTTCTTTTATATGCTTTGCGAAATATATGCATCAAAAATTTTTTTAAATTTGATATAAACACTTCTTATTATTTGATGTGTGTTTTAGAAAATCTTACCTGAGTTTTAATTACAATAATCCCCCAGTGTAGGAGTAATTGGGAAGACAGCATGGAAATTGAAAACAAATAATTAGGGCCATAACATTTTTATTTTGGTTACATATTTGAAATATTTTACTATCTGAAGTTTTTTAATTATCAAATCACGCAAAAGCTTCAGAAGAATAACAATAGAAAAATACAAGTGCAATTTATGGAAAATTGAAAACCCAAAATGTTATTTCATTTTGTTCAATACTCATTTTGTTCAGTACTAAATCTTCAAAACTGATGAAATTAAAGCAGTTTACAAATTCCGGAACTGAACAATCATTATTCGTTGTGAACACAGAGTTAAACATGTTTCTGAAAATGTTTTTGAAATGTTACATATTTATGAAGATTTGTGGACAAGAAGAGCGAGTGTTTTGTCTTTATCATCTAATTCATATTTAAAATGGTGCATATACAAACTTTGTCATTGGAATAATATTTCTTTCCTGAAACTTAATTACACATCATCCACATACGTAACAAAAACATCTCAGATTGTTCACATAGCCTCTTCTTAAATTACCACTCCCACATATATTTTTGCACATAGAAAAATTGCAATCATGTAATACAGATTTAAAAGAGAACCATTGGCATGAGTGAATGAAGTCACATGAGCATTGACTCCTGTTTGCCCATTGAATAGCCATTGCAGGTCTATAGCCTAGGATTGTTTATAAACAATGCAGGGTAGTGGAATGAGTCTAGAAGGTTTCTTGGAGGTCATCGTCATTATGCACACCATGCTATGAAGTGGTGGTGATACAGTCAGAAAAAGAGATCTATGTAACAGGCCTCTGTTCAAATGATTTCAACCCAAAGTAACATAATTGTTTGTGGCAAATGCACAATATACAAAATCAACACATGAGGCAGCAGGGCAAGTATCATTTTCTACTTTGGAACATTTGATAAATTGTGAATAACATAAAATAATGTGTGACACATAGTCTTTACCTGTGGTATTAGAGACCCCCAAATGTTTCAATAAAAATTTGTAATTCTACTTTTGTTAATTGTAAATGTGGCATTAAATCTCAAATCTCCAATACAATTGTTGCTTTTTGCCTTATTGTTCCAATGAATAAGAGGAAAAATATAATATGTTTTTAATTACTTCAAAGTAAACTTTTTGAGAAAAAAAATTGATTACCAAGAATGAAGATATATTTTAGAAAGAGGACTTTGTGGCGTAAGCGCGTATGCTTTCCTCTAAAGGGATCAATTCCTGGTGTATCGATGTAGAATTTGTGGAGGGCAGAGCGAGTTTGCAGCAGGTTTTCTCAGGATTGTCCCATTTCCCCTGCATCATATTCCACCATTCTTCAAATTTCATTCACTTCACCAATACTTTATCATCTGCTCTTTATATCATCACTTCTAGACCTCTTAGACCTCTTAGTTTAAGGGTCTCATTACTGCAATAAATAGATAAATCTATCAATCAATATTTTTCTGGCAAGTGTAATCTTGGTAAGATTGAACAACTAACAAACATTATTATTAATTTTCTTTCTCATTTCCAATATCTGGATGAATTTGTGTAGTGGCTAAATTTATTTATTTATTTTGATTTTTAATCTTCTTAATTAGAGGGAATGTTTTCTGGGAAACAATTAGAAATCAAAGTGCAAAAAAATGTACAGGGAAAATACAGAGAAATGGCTGTTCATGTCAAAAAAATATGCATTTAATGCAAGATTGTACTTGGAGACAATCAGTAATGTCATTCCTCACAAATTGGGCTAAAACACAATATTTTATGACTCAATGTGGCCACATCCACACAATTATATTGTAGGTTATTTTTATACTGTTGATATTATACTATACAATATTATTTGTTTAAGTAATTACATAATTCAAACAAATAAATATTCAAAAGGAATTTTGCCAAATCAATGAAACTAACAAATGAAAACTCTAGGCCTTGAATCCACTAGTAGCCTCATCATCTGCCATTTGAAGAGAAAAAAAAAATGTGTTGTAAATAAAGTGTAAATAAATAAAGTTTTAATTATTTGATTGTCTCCAAATATCCCAAGAACACTGCTTACCCTATATTAAAAGCATGGAAATTCATTTAATTGAAGTACTGTTGATGTTAAAAGTCAATGAATAAAAAATATTGAAAATTCCTGTGTATCCGTAGTTGAAAACTTTTTGAAGATCTCAACAAGGGTTATGAATTAAAATAATTTGATAAACAAGAATGTAAATGCCTAGTTTTTAAAATTAAGTTAAAAATAATTTAACATTTGGTGGCATATTTCTTCTGTTTCCTGTAAGTTCATTGCAATTTTGTTTGCACAGGAACGAGGTCAGGTGATGGCATGTATCAACCTGTTGGGACTCAATAATGAGTTACATTGCTCACACCTTCAGCTGAAGCTGCGTTTGCTTGAGCTAGCTACAGCAGCAGCTCTAGGTGATCTGCGAGGGGAAGGGGAGTTGTTATTAAGCACAGGCACTGCAGCAGCCACTGAAAATGCTGCTCAACTGATCCGCTGGGCCTATGACCTCATGGTGCTTGATCCTCATGATGATATGTCTAAAAAATCTTCTGTAAAGGTATTTCAGAATCATAATTACATAAAACATTTTGAAGATGTCTAAATGAAAATATTTGTATAATTATGCATATATATATATATATATATATATATATATATATTATATATATATATCATTGCTCATCCATTCTTTTATTTCGTAGCTTTTGGATGGTGTTCTTGGATTGCTTGATGCCATGCTAGTTTTCCAAGAGGCCCCAGGAGAAGAATGGGGAGAAATGGCCAAATTGGCTTTTGGTGAGATATTAAACAGTGTTTAAATTTCACAAAGTACAAGATTTACTGAAGCTTAGAGAGATACAGTAGTATGACTTCTGAGGAAGCTGGGCTTATCACAGTTTTTATTTAAGTGGCATTTTTTTTCATACTTCTGTTTATTTTCCCATTTTTTTTATTGCAATATTGACTTACAATATTTAATAAAAATATTTGGTCTTATGAATTTTGAATGAATTATTCTCATGAGTTTTTATAATTTTATATATTTTTATAGTTTTTATAACAATGAATTAACATTTCTCTGCTTAAATTTTAATTAAAATTAATAATTTTTGTAGGAATTCTTCTGTCATGTGCAGCATGTGATAACTTAGAGCTCTGTGCAATTGCAACTGCAAAACTTCATGCATTGGTGCAGACTCGAAATGTCAAAGATTTAGATGAAGCAGGTTATTTATTATACTCTCTTAATAAGAGTGTGGAGAAAGCATTAGATGGTAAGTTAAATTCCCATTTTATGTAGAGTGTGTAATAATGAAAAGAGGTGCAAGTTTAAGCTTTCTCTCAGCAATATATTTTTGTGGACACAAGCAGTGTCTGGCAGACCTTGCCCTTTAATATGTGTGTAAAACTGTTTGATTCTTCTACTGTGGCACAGCTAATGTTCTAAGAGCATAAATCTTGATTAGTAAAATCTCTCTTGCAAAACGGTTGATATTTGCACATCAGAGAGTTTTCTTCATTAATTTTGGTTCTTACAGCTGAAATGACACCTTTTTTTTGGGGGGGGGGAGGAATTAGGACAGGAAACGTGAAACAGTCAAGCTTGTTTTGTTAGAACAAATTTAACATGAGATTGTCTGGGAATAGAGCTCACACTTCTTTGTTTTTGCGCTAATTTTAGTTTGCTAAAAGGACATAAAGCTTTTTCCATAACCATGTATCTGCGCACATTATGTATTACTGACATAGACATTTTTATTCGTGACCATCTGGAAAGAGACTCATACTTACACTGTATTTGTACATGAAAGTTCAGCTTTTTCAACACCAGCCTAGTAGTACTGAAAGTACAATTAGAAAACAAAATATGTACCAAGCACTGAAGGGAAAAGTACATAGTATTTTCTCATGATCATCTATTATGTTTGTAAATCACATGAACAAATTGTCATAAAATTGAGGTCTAGTAAACAAAATTAATTTCACAGGTAAAAGGGACTTTCCATGAATGACCTAAAGGTCTTGTGTAGGAACTCTTTTGTCAAGACACCATAATATCCACTTTTTGCCTTCAATGTTTAACACTTTTATTGGTGTTAATTGACTAAAAAAAAGTAAAATGTTATATGCAAGTGAGTGCTTTGAAAGAAGGGAAAGAGGAGGTACAAAAACATTGTAATGTCATTTTATGTCATTTAATAGTTCAGTATCCATCAGACCTGATAGCATGGACAATGGTAAATAGTTTAGTTGCATTATCAGTGCAGGGTTTTTATGTATCTGATCAATATGCTATGAATTAATTGCAAATGTATTAACCCTTACATTTGAGAATAGAAATTGCATAATAATTTTCGTGACATACAGATCATCATGTTTGCATTTCAATAGTAAAGTTCTCATAAATTTGGTTTAATCATTGATTTTTTTATAAGGACCTCTAAAAATGTTTTTTTTCTTCGAGTATATAGTTATCATGTGGAAAGGTGTTTCCTGTGATTTTGTGGCTTGATGGTATTGATATCTTGTTTTCCAGCAGGTAACCAGGAACACTACTCCTTTTTGATCCCTGTGGTGAAGGCATTGCTTGAAAAATTATCACTGCCTCTCAATCTGGTGTCACACTTACCTGATCTGCCACAAACACAAGCAGGCCCTGCTTTCTTTGATGACTTTCAACAGTTTTGTAAAGGTGCCCAGTGGAAAACATTTGTGGAGCGTAAGGTAAGTAATTTGGCATTGATTACTGATTTTTCAGGCTTGGTTGTTTTTGCACTTGATTTTATAAAAAGGAAAAGGAAGTGAATGTGTTGTGAAATGTCTTTGGAATGCTAAATAAACTTAACCGCAGAATGTTGGATGCTGTCTTAAGAAGACATGTTTGTTTCACTTCTATTTATGTATCATTGTAACTAGACTTCATGGAAATTTCCCCCTGTGGCCGAATGATATGAAGAGTCAGGGAGCTGCTGTCTCACTGAGTTTGCTTTCATAATGACACATGTGCATCTCCTTTCTCCACCCACTTTAGCAAACTCCTGCAATCAAGCTCGCCTCTGCCTTTAAGGGTTAACATTACCCGCAAAATTAAAGTCTTGTGTATTGTATTATACTGGTTGTATGGCTGTGACAGCATTATACTGACTCTGCAGTATTGGACATTTTTGACAATAGCTACTTTGTGAGGTTGAATTCAACCAGGAGGAGGGGCATTATTACAATTGGCAGCTCTGTAGTTTTTCTGATTATTACCTGTCATTTGCCAGAGCAGTACCTTAACAAATGGTTCATGGATCTTGCATAATATTTCCTTGTATATGACTAATCTCTCCCCTTCTCCCCTTGGATACACTTGCATGTATTACTATCACAAATGTGGGGAGACCTTTTGGGGGCTTAGAGCGTGTTCTGGCTGGAGCATTGTCACTCTGGCAGAGTTACCTTCAAAGGGGAAACCCTGCAAGCTGACATGTAGGTGATCATCAAATCTCATGAGCCAGCGTGGAAGGAAAACCACTACCTCCTGGCATATAATGTGCACTACACTTACATTACTGATGACCATAGTAGTTAGAAACCAGGAAACACTATGTAATCATTCAGTCATAATTGTATTGTGAACATAATCAAAATGACTCTTTAATTGCCATTAGCAAAATTTAACAATATCTTCAGGGGTTTATTACTGAAAAAAAAAAAACAGAGGAGAAAGTTGATCTCTGTTGTCCTATTTCTTCATGTACTTTTATATAAACTAAATTTTGACAAGATGATGGCACAATATATATCGGTTACTGGAAAACTGGGAAAAATCTGTGAATTCCATTGCTTTGGAAAAATCAAGGAAAAATTAGAAAATTTGTAGAACAATCGTTAGAGGTCAGGGGACATTTTTAGAGGATTATACAACTAGATATCATTCCTTAAAAACATTAGAACATTACAAAAACAAACATAATTTTTTGCTCAGTTTTACTGTATTTTTTTTGTAATCATCTATTTTCTGAAATACATTCACACATGATATAAAAATATTGCACAGATTGGAAACAATATATAGGTCACTTAGCCTTTAAACTTAGTTTTGTGGAAGATGAATATCTTTGGTCCAGAGATGTCTTGAATGAATCATTCTCAGAGGTGTATGTATATAAATAATAACAGCATATTGCATGTTCACTTGCACACGAATCAGTCTGTTGTCCATGATGTAGCCAAGTTTAATTAGGCTTCTAGACTCCAAAATACTGTCTTTTTGGCTTTAGAGTTTTTTCACTTATTTTGTTGTTTCACACGCAGGATTTTGAACTTTATTGTCGGGAATTGTGCACTATTTCCCAATCTCCAAATATTATGAATCTGGTAATTATTTTTATATTTTATCTTTAGTCAAGATGGTTTTCACTGTTATGGTTCTATATATGATGGAATGTGGCGCCTCTCTTATTTGGCAGAAATTTAGTTTTTATAGAGTAAATATAAAACAATATAAACCAATCCAGCAAATACAACAGATTAATGCATTTGTCACCTGTAACATTTGCATTTCTAGACCCAGCCTATTTAAATGTGTATCTCTCAACCTCTGATGCTGCTGCTGCTGCCTCGAATTCATTGTATGATGCCTTTGACTTCTTGCATTTACTTCAGTAGTCCACACACTTTATAATATTAACTCATTTAGTCCCTAAAACGTGCATGGTGAAGATAGTGTGTCTTTAAATTTCAAAGAACAACTTGAATAAATTGATGAATAACATAATTATTGCATCTAGGTTCTCAGCAAACAATAGTGGAGTAATTATTGGAGAAGATATTCACTCAGATATTATGGGCTGCTTTTATATAACACAATTTTGGATAAGATAATTGAATTTTGAGCATATGTTTTTCTTGAAAAGTTTCAATTACCACACATTTTCTTTCAAGAAGTGGCAAAAAAAGGAGTTTGATATTCTAAAGTTGAGTATCTATATGAATACATATAAATGATAGCTGATAACCCAAATAATGGCCATTGCTTCATTACATTTCAGTCGACATTCACAAAGTCATGAACTTGTTGAAATAATTTTGACTTCTTTTTGTGTCTTACAGTTGTTACTGATTATTCATAGAAGTAAATTTAAAAGTGAAGGGGAAAAAAGTTTGTGAAAGAAACTTTTTCTCTGTAAGTACTCAGTCCCATTTGTAACAGAACATGTGACATGTGGATATATTCTAATTGTACTGATACTGAGCCATGAATTATTACTGTTGGGGAAGGAGAATTTAAGTCTGGTTTCTTGATTCAGGTTTTGTCATGATTTGTGGAGAAACTTTGAGAATGAAATTGTTGCCTGGTAGCTAGCCCAGATAAGTTGCTGAAATTTTCCAAAATAATAATAATAATAATGTAAGAAGAGATACCAAAAGAAGAACTTTCCTCAGCAATATAACAATGGGGTGAGGGTGGGGATTAACTTCAGATATTCTCCCTAAATCTTTTTGAAAATTAAAAAAAAGCGTTGGCCTGAAATTAAGATTCATATTCATAATAGAAATACTTCTTAAGATGTTATTCGATTAATAAGCACTAATTGTTCTGAATAAATTATGTAAAATTACAACAAAAAAAGTTGGTTTTGTGGGAGGCAGGCAGGGTCCTTATTGGTCTCCACTTCCTAGATCTGCCACTTCACAAAAAAGATCGTTTGATTTGGAAAGAAATGTGGAGAGTCAAATATTTCAACACCCCTATGTTGTCCAGAAAGAGCGGTTATTGTGATATGATTCTATAAATACTAGGATTTCATTTGGAGATTTGCGAAATCGCCCAATAAGTCTTCCGCCGATCGGGTGAGGGTCAGCTTGAAAGAACCCTCCCCCCCCTTACATAGTCAGGAGCTTGAGCAAACTCAACTGGGAAGACCGTCCGTACGGCTCCCACGTGTGAACACTGCCTTCGAGTGGGACCGCGAGGTGTAGTTAGCGGCCGAATGCCCCTGCATAACCGCTAAGAAGCCAACGGGAGCAATGGTGTAGACTTGTGGGAATGTCTTAACCGGATAGCACACTCATTCTGGGCGCCGAGAAAAAAGGAAACACTCGAAAAAACAACTTAGGAACCAATTTAGATAGAAATTGTCGAGAACTGTTGTAAAATTTGTTGATTAGGAGGCCACATTTTTCTTTTCATACATAGGTTTAGGACGGAATCGCTTTAAGAAATTACCTAATAGGTAAATTCGCACATGCACTACAACAACGCATTGCAATTGGTCCCTAAGTTCTTTTCCTTCCGAGCGGGAAGGGCATCCGACGGCGCCCTTTTGACAGCCGCCGTCCCTCACTGGCTACGCCACTGGCCGGAACTGGAGCGGGGCGGGGCGTGCTCAAGCGGGGGCTGCGAGGGCGCGCGCGTCGCGCGTCGCCAGCGCGGTGGCGCTCGCTGCGTGGGCGTTTGCGCGGGCGTGGGCGGCGGGCTTCCCGCTGCGCTCCACGTCCCCGGGGAAGCGCACGCTGGCGGAGAGCGCGGCGCTGCTGCTGCCGTGGCCCGGCGCGGGCGCCAGCGCGACGGACGTCGAGGAGGAGGAGCCCGCGACGTCGGCGTCGTCGTGGCCGTCGCCCTCGTCGCCCTCGTCAGACGTCCGCGAGTACGCCTGGTGGTGGTGCTGCTCGGAGACGCCGCTGCCTGCGCCCTGCGTCGCCAGCGCTTTGATGCGGTTGCCGAACGAGTCGGCCAGCGCCTCGTAGTAGTTGGGGGACAGCACCTAGCGCGCGGGGCAAAACAGAGGTGTTATGGCTCATTCTTAATGTGATGCGTAATCGAAAACGCAAAAGTTTGGGGCTGTGTTTTTTGATGAAACCATTGAGAGTGGTGATGACTGTAACGTAGACGTGAACGTAATTTACAAACGTGAAAGTTCCAAGCTCCAAGTATTTACGTGCAAGTAAAAGTAATGCGAGAAAGCACACTGTCGTGTACCGCAGCTTGATCCAAAGAACTCTAACGTTTTTATTAGAATCTAGTCATGTTTGAAACATGTCATTATAGATCACATCATTAACATTGCTCATGAAACACTCTGTATTCGGCGCGTTCATGATATACGAAATAATTATCATTATAGCATGCTCATATTACGTAATGTAATGGGGTTATCTAATACATATAGATTAATGATCATGGTGCGACGAAACCCAACTCAAAACTATGTACCCGTCTCAACTCTAATGGGATCGACTTGTTTTCAAAATTGCTTCCACAGTCATGAAAGTCACCAGTGTAACCTCCGTCGCCCTAATGCCCTCAAGAGCCTCGAGCTTATTTATGAGGATGTGTGTGAACACGTGTATACAGCTGGTTTTCTCACCTGAGATCCGCCCGGATCGCTCGCCGCCGCGACCTGGTGCCGCGTGGTCTGGATGGTGCGGTAGACGTTAGAGGCGGGGGCCACGGCGGTTTCGTGCGCGTGGTTGTCCTGTCCGTGCGTGTACACGTCTGCGCCGGCCGCGCTGTTGCTACTGCTGACGCCGCTGTCGTGCTGACCGTACGTCAGCGATACCTGCGAAGGCGCTCCGTAGCTGTCGGCGGGCGCCCCGTACGAGTCGGACGGCGTGTGATAGGTGCTGTAGGAGGCTCCGCCGCCGCCACCGCCGTGGCCGCCGCCGTGGCCGCCGCCTTGTCCGGCCGTGTTGAAAGAGTGGTACGAGGTGGCAGGGGCTCCATAGGAGTCGGAGATGCCCTTGAAGCCACCTCCGAAGGATCCACCAAAGGAGCCGCCGCCGCCGAACCCTCCGTGGCCACCTCCGCCGCCAAATCCGCTGGGGGCGCCGTACGATTGGGACGGAGCACCGTAAGAGCTGCTAGGAGCGCCGTACGAACTGCTGGGAGCTCCGAATGAACCGCCGGGGCTTCCGTGGGAGCTGCTGGGAGCTCCGTACGCGCTGCTGGGGGCGCCGTAGGAGTTGCTCGGCGCTGCGTGCGAGGGACTGGGGGCGGAATAGCCGGTGCTGGGTGCTCCGTACGACGAGCTAGGAGCTCCGTACGAGCTGCTTGGAGCGAACGACGAGTGGTCCGGCACCCCGTAGCTGGCAGCGGGCGGTCCGTAGGAAGAGGATGGGCCCTTGGACGGTGCGCCGTAGCTGCTGGATGGTTTGGAAGGTGCGCCGTAGCTGGAGGATGGTGCGCCATAGCTGGAAGAGGGCGCTCCGTAGCTGGATGAAGGGCCTTTAGAAGGGGCGCCATAGCTGCTTGAGGGTTTCGAGGGGACGCCGTAGCTCGTGGAAGGCGGTCCGCCGAAGGAGCCACCGCCGAACCCTCCGTGTCCACCGCCGCCACCACCGAACCCTCCATGTCCGCCGCCGCCGCCGCCATGGCCTCCGCCGAAAGATACGCCTTTATCTGGTACTCCGTAGCTAGTGGACGGCGGGCCGTAGCTGGAGGAGGGTTTTGGAGGGCTGTAGCTGGCTGGAGGCGCTCCGTAGGAGCTGGAGATCTGTGTTGGGGCGCCGTATGCAGATGTTGGTGCACTGTAGGTGTCCTTCGGAGGGCCATAAGATGGCTTGGGTGGGCCGTAGGACGCTTTTGGGGGAGGGCCATAGCTTGCCTTGGGTGGTCCATAAGAAGCCTTTGGGGGTGGGCCATAGCTTGCCTTCGGTGGTCCGTAGCTGGGCTTGGGAGGGCCGTAACTAGGCTTAGGGGGCCCGTAACTGGCTTTGGGTGGTCCATAACTGGATTTCGGAGGCCCATATACAGGCTTTGGAGGCCCATAGGATGGTTTGGGGGGACCGTACACTGGTTTGGGGGGTCCATAACTGCTCTTAGGAGGGCCGTGACCTCCTTTTGGCGGACCGTATGAAGGCTTTGGAGGACCGTACGAGCTCTTTGGAGGCCCGTAGCTGGCTTTGGGCGGGCCGTATGATGGTTTTGGTGGGCCGTAAGATGGCTTGGGTGGGCCGTAACTCGGCCGGGGCGGGCCGTAGCTGCTCTTGGGCGGGCCGTACCGGCTGGGGGGCGGAGGCTCTGCTAAACTAGGTACCAAGGCCAGCGCCAATAGCATCAGCGCCAAAGACCATCTCACCTGAAACAAAAAGACAATAACATTAAAGATTGTACAGAAGAATTCTAGGTACGTTTGAAAGCGATAGAAGTGACTTCTTATTGCATTAATTATGATATAACTTTATGAAATGAGAAAAACACATTTACGCGAATGAGGGCAATGTTGTGTACGTCTTCGGATGGTTCATTCTTTACTCCCTTGTCAATGAGGAAGTGAGATGGGATCCTTTGATTAACAATTTGACACTTCTACAAGTTCTCAGAAGCTTATCCGGGAACAACCTTTATTTGCCCTGAAAATTCATAATTGCATGTAAAATGCAAAATCTCCCAAATCATAAAAATATCGAAATGTCTCTGTGCGAGTTGCGATTCTTACATTGAACTGACAATTAATCCACTCGGGCACACCTGAAATTGGTTTCTCATCTTGCAGTTTGTGTTATATTATTTCGGCAGCAACTTTTTACATCTTTTATTGTTCCTGGAGCAACATTTTCTCGTCAGTAAAAGTTGTGATAAGAACCGGTCAGACGCCTGTGACAGTTTTTCCTGTTCGCAAAGTTGCGTTCCTAATTCTTATCAAATGGTTAGTAATTCGCTTTACTCTAATCAACGAGATTTCGCATGTAGAAATTCACCTGGGTACCGCACAGCCACGTTTTGTGAACTCGACTGAACAAAGGAATTTGTTTTTACTTTCACTTCAGGCGACCGTGAAAACGTGTTTAGACGCGAAAGGAATCCCAAAATAATAAATGGAATTAAAAAAAATTAAATCTTTTGAATAAAGTCTGTAATTTAGAAAATAGGATAACCATTAATTTGGACACCTCTACCTGTCATCTTTTCCAGATTCTTAGTAAACATCGTTGAGCTCTATTTAGACCAACTGTCTGAATCAGATATTTCCAAAGATACAAAAAAATGATCAATTTATAGAAATGTCATTGTTCAAAAAATGAAAGAGAAAGTAGCTTTGAAGGTTGGTAAAGTAACCAAGTAAGAGCAGAAATTTCCTCATTTCGCGAGGTAGAGGCAGATAAAGAAAATACGCAGCTCTTTGAGCCTTCTGTAGATCTGGACTCGGGCGGCCATATGTACGTGTGTATGGGCTGCTGTGCGTTGCGCATCTCAAGGCGATTCGGGGCGACGCGAAGGATCAGCCGCAGATAGCGCCTGCGCAGATGCGGAGAACGGAGAGACTCCGCGAGATGTGGGACGGCGATCGCCAGACGGTGCTTACTGCGCGCCCGAACGCAACCGAGCGCCCCAGATCAACGCGACGGCGATTCAAAACTTCTATATTAATTACCTTTTATAAAATTCGATTTGGCTTTCGTGAAATCTCACTTCACGTGCATATTTTTCCTGTGACTAATTCATACGCAGAGAGAAGTAGGACTGTGAATTAATATATAAGCAAGTTAAGTACATACCAAAGCTCCCTTTGATAGGGGTCTGCAATAATTATTTTAACAACATTTTATATTAGTTCAAAATATTTACATTATATATTTTTTATTTGTAAAAGTCGTATTTTGTGTTAATATTAATTTTGAATACATGCTTTAAAAAACATTTCAACTTTATTAGATGACTGATTACGCGTTGGTTATGCTTGTGCTGCTTAAGATTGTAATCCGTCCCTGTGTCTATGAATTTGTTTGCTGGTGGGCATCGGGATTATATCGTGCTTTAATTTAGCTTTGGAGTTGAGTATTCTTGAGTAATAATATGTACATAAATAAACTAAGATATGGTTTGCCAGGAAGGGAGAACATCTTTTTGCCTGTGGTGAGCCGTTCTGTCAGAAAATCCAGGCTGTAAGTTTGATGTCAATAGCCAGTTTCTGCTGTAATTTTTTTCCAATTTAAAAGAGTCGAATAAGAAAAATTGCGTCACCATCGTCGAATTCTACAGGAGAGTCGACCTGATTTTTTCCTTCAGATTTTCTCTTTTAGAAATTGAATTGAAATTTTCTTCATTTTAAGTCGTCAGACTAATGTCATCACAACTGTTCTTACGCCTAACCAGTTAATTTGAGCCTCTCTCGCTCCAAGCGAATGCCGAGACCGCGTCTTAATGAGGGTGGTGGAAACTAGTCTGTGAAAGCGGGTCTGGAGTAGGTTTTCACCCCCCACAACCCTTGATCGTATCCATTACACGAGCTGTGTGATCATGTTCTTACTGCAGTTTCATTTTCTGCCATCCGTCTATTATATAATTATAATACTAACCAACTGCCGTACTGATTACGAGGAAAAAAGGGTTGCATTGGTGTGAAGGATCTCCTGGGTGCAGGCTAGTTAAGACTGATACCATCGTCACGTTGCAAATATCTGGAGTTACTTCTCCACGCTTTCGGTCTCTGTGCGCCTGTAGAATGTCTTAGACATCTTTCTAGACTTCTCTTTTTTTTAAGCTTCCTAGAGGCACTTTCAGGTTAACTCTGCTACGTCCGGTGTACATCGCGTCACCTGTAGTGTAGAAACACAGTCGCCAATGACAAAGCAATTTCCTATGCGTGTGAACAGGTTCTCTCCCTAATTGATTTTGTAGTGGTGATGGTTGTGTTTAGTTGAACAAAGAAGGAGACGATGCAGTTATTCCTAGTTTTACTTAAAAAAGCTGTAGACAGACGTGATAGTGCATAGCCGAAGCAAAATTAATACGGTAAATTAGCACATTGAAGAAAGAAAAAAGTGGGGAAAATAAACTTTAAAGGAGTTGGACATTAATTTGCACGGCACGTCAATAAACATGAATTAGAATGACTAATATCAGTTTTTTCTGAAGTGTTTTTGAAAAGGATCGCCTTAAGCCACAATAAAGAAAACGTAAAGCGTATATAAGAAGCTAGCTTTACCTATTAAGATAAAGTATGAATATTTCAAAGTTGTAAGAGATTCCACCTAATAACATGATGGCAGATCTTGAAACAAAATTGTGCGAATATAAGTTTGAGATTTGAGACTTTCATGATATCATTGTTAGCCTTCCTATGTGAGTATCCAATTTGCTCTTGACTCACGCGTCTAAATCATTTCGATTTGCACGTTGCACTGGCATATTTTCTGTAGTGATATATCCACTGGTACCTCAACATTGTCAGTTGGTAACAGTAAGTTGAATAAAAGTCTGTATCGCCACGTTACTTACTAATTACCAAATGGATGAAAGTGTTGATTAAAAAAAAAGTATATTACTGCTACATGTTTTACTTTATAGTGAGACATTTTTTAACAGTGATTATCGTCAAATTGTTTTGGTGTTAATCCAGTACTTCAAGAATGCTCCTTCCTCTGGGAACGTGCAACATCTGTTCTTCCTTTGTGATCGGCGCGAGATCGACACAATAATTTCGTTTTGTAAAAATCCACTTTAGCTATCGGTTACAAGTAGATGCTAATTCGTTGTTTGCATGCATGGAGTTTGAAATGAAATAGCCCGAGGCGGTCGGATCCTCTGCCTCTCCAGCCCGCCTTCTCGATTACCCGCATCTGCCCGACGATCTTTTCCTCCTCTCGACGCAGGCTCGAAGGCGCATTAAGGCCGGGCAATGAGGCGTCGGCCGGCCCCACCCTCCGCGAGGTTCTCACAAAGGACGGTGACGGTAACAACGGAGAAGGCGGAGGCGTCGTCAGCCATTGAGGCCGGCCGACTCGTTGTCCTGGTCTCGTTCCCGCGGTTTACGGCGGCGGCGGCGGTGGTGGTGACGGTGGTTGCTGCGGTGGTGACCTCTCCTCGCGGCGCCCGAGTCTCCCTACCACCGCGATGCAATTACACACTCGCCAAATTAAGGGCCGCGACGCCTATGGGTCGGAACGTGATGCAGACATTATGGTTCCGGACTAGGCAACGCGATTTTCCCTAGAAAGTAGATCCCGCTCAGTTCCCAGTGCCGTGGAACGGAAACCCGTTGCTAGTCCTGTGAAGAAGAGTCTTCTAATGTGGGCGTCTGATGTATCAAACAGGTGTTTTGGTTATCTCGCTCATTGAATTAAACCGTATAGAACACGTTACGTTTTGATTGACTTGTAAGTAACGTATGTAATGAAGCAAAGTTAGATAAGAGACACTGTACACTGTCAAACTCTCAGCAAAAACGATGACATTTATTATTGTTATTATAATAATTTAATATAAACGTATCATGTATTATTGTTAAAAAACTTAAATGTTAATTTTTAATATTTAAATTTTAAATGCCCTCTTACTCAAAGTAGTGTTTTTATTGAAGTTTCGTCCGTTCAGCCCGGAGATTCGGAATGATACCTGTCATAAAATATTCGCATAATCATTTCAGTGTACATAAACAAGGTATGTAAGAATGAGTTACATGTAATTAAATCTGTGACGAAACATGGAATAAACGCACATACTATGGCATTTATTCTATAAGAAAGGTATGAAGAAAGTGTTAAATGAGATGGCAATTATATTATAAATGTCTAATTTGTATGTAAAATAAGCAACTTATCGTTGGTACTGAAAAATAAGAAAGTGTAGATGGTGCGTGCGGTTTCTCAAAACGTCAAAATTGCATCTGCTGTTTCTGTGACGGAAAATGCCGCCAATTACTCGCCTGACTCACAGATGCCTCGTCATGCGCTCTTTGCTGTAGCAGAATTTTCATCGTGATTACTGTCGGAAAACTGGCGAACGAAGATTACTGGTGGACGAAATTCATTGTTTCATGAGATTACAGACCAATGAGTGCCTTTTTTCGTGATGAGAAAGGCGAGTCCAGACTTGAATATGTTGATGTTAATATTGACGCTGACAACTACTATGATGGTGCTGAAGACATTGACCGCATCATCGTCGCTACGGACGATGATGATAATGACATCGATGATGACGGCAGCTCTGACAATGCTGACGTCGACGGCGTACTGTTAGTTCTACCGGCTTTCCCTGTCGCTCAAGATTGCTTGATATGTTCGTGCGGCGCCTCCCCGTCCCACACTGTCCCACACTGTCCCACGCTGTCCCACGTCGCGGTGGCTCCGTAAATCCAAATCGGGAGAGAGAAGAGCGTACGAGTGTGTTGGCGGACGGCTGTGATTTGCTGTTTTTGTAGTGTTACTAGTTTTCTCCGCTAGCACGCGACGCGAAACGTTCAAATTGAAGTTTCTTTTTTAAACTTTGTTTTACCTGCAGGAGCGCCCAGAAGAGGTGTGGCAGCTGGGGCAACTTGCTCCCAGGCCACGGTTTAATTGGCTTCCATTCTTTTTAATTCAAAATTTGAAACAAAGTATAGACTTCTAATTGAATTTAACAGCTGTATGTTATTTCTGTCGCATGGAAAAGTGAATTCTGTTTATGTATTGAAGGGGGAGGAACTTTTGTTTGAAATTAGGGGCTCCGTGATTCTTGAACTGCTCCAGGCTCTTGTTTTGTCTGGGATCTTCTGGTTACGTATATTGCATTTTTTGGTAAAAATTAAACAAAAGAACTAGGCCAAAGTGACAGGCGTTCTGTTATGGACCTTTTTCCGCACAAAATAATGTTAATGTAACCCCAACGATAAAACAAATCATGTGTCAGACTTCTCCTTCAAAAGATACTTCAAAATTTAATTTTCCACAACATTTAAGACGGCAGGAATATGTACTTAAATTCATTTGTCGGGGTGTAGGATGTTCTAATTACAAGAGTTCAGTGAAGAA